GATCCTCAGATCTCAGCCTCCTGAGTAGCTAGGATTATAGGCATGAACCCCTAGCCACTGGCCGCAAAGTTTTAACTAAGACAAATGATTCAAACAGCCATACTCCATGTTCAAAAGCCCCACCCTCACCCTGGAAAGCCCCACCCTCATCCTGGAAAGCCCCACCCTCATCCTGGAAGCCCCGCCCCAACTCAGTGGCCATCCTGCATCTCAGTTTGTTATAAGCATATATTAATCACACAGAAGAGGTGAGTTTGCGAATGAGATTCCCATACACTTGTGTAATGTACTTTGGCTGTATTTCTCATTTCTCTCTCCTGTCACCTCCTCCTTTCTCTGTTTTATGAGGAAATATGTGACTTGTCTTTTTGAGTCTAGCTTAGTGTGCCCAAGCAGGTACTCGCCCTTCCCTCTGTTTCCCAGCAAGTGACTTGGTTGTGTTCTTATAACTGAGGCACCTCAGGCCCCATCCAGCCCTGATGAATCTAACTCCTCTGAGTCATACCAGAATATGCTCAGGGTTCACCAGAGCTTGTGACCTGCTTGTGGGGTTTGTTGTTTGGTTCATTTGTTTGCCGGTACTAGGGGTTGAACTCAGAGCTTTGAGTTCAGTGGGGCATGCCTATAACCCCAGCTTTTTTGCTCTTGGCTGATGCTCTACCACTTGAGCCATCCTTTAGCCAATCTTTTAGTCAGCCTTTTGCTGGTTAATTGGAGATTGAGTATCAAGGAATTCTCTGCCCAGGCTGCCTTTGAACATGGATACTCAGATCTCAGCCTCCTGATTAGCTAGGATTACAGGCATGAGTCATTGACACTTATACTTATATTTGACATTTGCTTTTTGCAATATTTTGTGTTTAAGTTTGCATATCTTTTGCCCATTTTGTTTATTCCCAGTACCAGATTTTTTTTTGGTCAGTTGTGGGGCTTGAACTCAGGTCCTCAATGACAGCCTCTTTATGCTCAAGGCTAGCCCTCGACCTCTTGAGCTACAGTGCCACTTCTTGTTAATTGGAGATAAGAATCTCATGGAGACTTTTCTATCCAAGCTGTCTTTGAACCATAATCCTCAAATCTCAGCCTCCTGAGTAGCTAGGATTACAGGCATGACCACTGGCTCCTGGCTCAGACTTTATTTTATTTATTTGTTTATTTATGTATTTATTTATTTTGCCAGTTGTGGGGCTTGAACTCTGGGCCTGGACACTGTCCCTCATATCTTCAGCTCAAGGCTAGCACCCTACCACTTGAACCATAGTACCACTTCCGACTTTTTCTGCTTATGTGGTGCTGGGGAATTGAACCCAGGGCTTCAGACATGCAAGGCAAGCACTCTACTACTGAGCCATCTTTCCAGCCCTCAGATTTTTTTATGCTACTGTAAATAGAATTATTTTCTAATTTTTTGAGGGTTGTTAATTGTATCTTGGCCACTGTTGATCATATACCCCAAAACTGCTGAATTTATTTATTAACTCTACGTTGTGTATATGTGAAGTCTTTGGCTTTCCTATGCACAAGACTGTGCTGTCTGAAAATACAGGTCATTTTATTTCTTCCTTTCTGATTTGAATGTGTCTTATTTGCTTTCCTTATCTGCTCTGGCTGGCACTTCCAGTCACATGCTGAACAGAAGTGATGAGCAGACATCCCTGTCTCATTCCTGATTTAAGAGGGAAACTTTTCCTTCTGTCTCCTGAGCATGCTGTGGGCTTCTCATGAGTGGTCTGCATCATGCTGGGAAAGTTTCCTAGCTTTTACCATGGTAGGATGTTGAGTTTTGTCAAATTTCTTATCAGTATTGAGATGACCCTTATGTAGGGTTTCCCCTTCGTTCAGTTCATGTGAGGCAGTACACCCATTTCACTGTTGTGTGTTGAACAATCTTTGCATTCCAGTGGTAAGTCCCACTGGCTTGTGGTTTAGCATCTCTTTACTGAGCCAATGAACTCCTTTTGCTGATATTTTATTCAAGATTTTAGCATCAATGAACTGGGCTCTGTGGGGTATGCCTGTAGCCCCAGATACTTGGTCTGCTAAGGCAGGAGGATCACTTGAACCCAGCGTGAGCAATGTAATGAGGCCCCCATCTCCAAATGTTTTGCATCAGTACCCAAGAGGGAGATTACTCCACCGTTTTCTCTTATTGTTATATCATTGTCTGGTTCTGGTGTCGTGGCAGCACCAGCCTCTCTTCAGCACTGGGGCTCCAGCTTCTCCCTCTATAAGATGGGGACAGTGAGGGGACCACTCTGAAGCTCTGCAGATCAGAGTGGTCTTGCAGGGACCCAACCATAGGAAGCTCTCCACCTGGGCTAGATGCTAATAATAAGTAAAGTAGAATGGCAGCGGACAGCTAGACACTCAGGGCAGGTGTCACACTTGTGCTCTGCAAGAACAGTGGAATCACAACGGCAGACACAAAAACGATTGCCTCAGCAAGGCAAATTTTCTTGCTAGAAATGTGGCGAGCACGCACTCAGAGCAAACCGGCTGCTCCCTAAGACAGCAGGCCCCACCATTCTGCTGGGATTGGTCGAGCTCAGGTTCACAGTCTGCTCGCAGTTGGCTGGTTTGAAGAGGTAAAATGTATTTTACACAAGGTGACCTTTAACAGACTTTGAAATAAGATTAGCAATACACAGAAATCTCAAAATGTACCCATATCCTGTTATTTCTTTTTTTGGGTCCGGTTGTGGGGCCTGAACTCTGGGTCTGAGAACTGTCCCTCAGCTCTTCAGTTCAAGGCTAGCGCTCTACCACTTGAGCCACAGTGCCACTTCTGGCTTTTTCTTTTTGCTTATGTGGTGCTGAGGAATCGAACCCAGGGCCTCAGGCATGCAAAGCAAGCACTCTACCACTGAGCCACCTTCCCAGCCCTCCTCTGTTATTTCTTGAGTAATCTGAGGTGTGTCTTCTGAGGTGTGCCTTAATTCCATCTTGAAACAACAGTGAAGACAAAACCTTCTATTCCAAAAACCCTTCCTTATTCCAAAGCATTCCTCTTTTCCTTTCTTGCTTGTATCATCTACACAGAGTGATCAGCAACAGTCTTTTAAGCGACCCACTTTGGTTAAAACGATGGCGTATTAGCAGCCACTCCAGCCCCCATGCCGTGGAGTCACCCAGGAACACAAGGCTCGCAGCTCTCTTGCTTGCCTAACAATGCTGGCTGCTCTGGGCCTGCTTTGTGGAGTCATGCAACCTTGTTCCTCTTTGTTCTGAGGTTCTAACCACAGCCTGGCTGCTTCTGAGGAACAGAAAGCAATGGGGCTTGGGGAAAGAAAAGCAAAATCCAGCACCCAGAATCGGTCTCTTTTTTTTTTTTGGCAGTTGAGTGAGGTTGCCATCAAGGTCATGGGCATGTGGGCTGCATTGCCTCGCTCTGAGAGCTGAGGTGTTGTTTCTTAGGATTCGTAGGTTTGCAGAAAGTCAAACAGTGGGACAGCGACCCCCACCAGCTGCCTCCTGTGTTGAGGTCTGGTGACCGTCCCGCATGGCCACGGGCTGTTGGGCACCAACACATGATTGAGTGAAAGATGACCAGGACAGCTCCCAGCTTAAAGATGGTCTTGCAGTGGATGGAAGCAGCACACTCTCAGTGGGTAGACAGGCATACAGACACAGTTGTGTCTTCCCTGTCCCGGGCCCTGGGCCGTGTGGTGTCCTCACCATGCCCAGTGAGAGACCACTGCAGTCCTCTGAGCACATTCAAGGTGGGCCAGGTCAGAGCTACGTAAGAACTGCAGGTCGTCTTTCTGTGCTTGGATTCAAGCTGATAGAACACTTCCCGATTCATTTGTTAAGGCCAACAGCACCCAGTACCAGCCAGATGCAGTCATTGCAAGAAGAGACAACAACAAACCTGTTAGCGCTCATGGATGCAAATGTAAAACCTTCAAGTGTTCTGGAAGAGGCTGTGGGGAGCTGGTGTCATTTCTCCCTTAAATACTGAATAAAATTCACAAGCCCCTCTGGGCCCGGTGCTTTGTTTGTGAAGGTTAGTAATTACTGTTTTCAAACATGCGATACTTCGGCCTCAGCCACCCGTGTGCTGGGATTACAGGCATGCACCACCACACTCAGCAGATTCAAAGTCTAAACAGAGCCATCTCTCAGACCATCTTCCTCTCCTTGGGTAGGTGTTGGTGGGTTGCATCTTTGTGGACAGTGAGTTGTTTGTAATCTCTGTGGTCCTTTTCGTGTCCAAGGGTTCAAAAGTGATGGTCACTTACCCTGCTTGTGGTAATTTGTGACTTCTCTCTTTCCGAAGGGGAAGAGGGAGGGAGGGAGGAAGAGAGGAAAGGAGGGAAGATGGAAGGAAAGAAGGAGGGAGGGAAGGAGGAAATAAAAAGGAATAGAGGAAGGAAGGGAGGGAGGGAGGAAGGAAGGAAGAAAGGAAGGGAGGGAGGGAGGAAGGAAGGAAGTCACCTTTGGTTAGATGAATTCTGAGTTGCTTCAAGAAGCCATGGGAACGCTGCTGGAAGGGGACTCCTCCCCTTCACGCGCAGGGCTTAGAAGTATGAAACGACACGGAGTTGTACCATCCATGGCGGCTGCCTCTGCCGGGTGAAAGGTGATGGAGCGTCTTTTTCTATTTCGTGTGGTTTTTTTCTGTGAAGACAATTAATCGCTTGCTTACCCCTCCCCTCCACCCCAGCTCCGGCTCCTCCTCCCGGGAACCCAGTCTTTTCCTCCTCAGAGTCAGGGCCGCTGTCTCTTGCTGACCAGCCTCTGCCAGTCTCTACCGGCCTGGGCACATCTGTGTGGGTCAGTAGGCTGGGAAATGGCCAGTGGCCAGGCCAGGGCTCTCCATGACTCCCTAAGTACCATCCCCTTCGCCCCACAGTGCAGTGTCTGTCCCCAGGTCCCAGCAGCTGTGTGACCTCAGGAGATCACCGCACCTCTCTGATCCTCAGGGTCCCCTTCTCCCAGCAAGGGCACCCCGTGAGCACAGGGCCTGCAGTGGCCACGCCCTCTGCTTTCCTCTCTTCCAGTCTTCGGACATTGACAACCACCATGCGCTTATCGAGTACAACGAAGCAGAGGGCAGCTTCGTCCTGCAGGACTTCAACTCCCGCAACGGCACATTCGTCAACGAGTGCCACATCCAGAACGTGGCTGTGAAGCTGATCCCCGGGGACATCCTGAGGTTCGGCTCGGCCGGGCTGACCTATGAGCTGGTCATCGAGAACCCGTCCCAGGTGAGCCGGGCCTGGCTGGGCAAGTGGAGCTGTGGAGAGAGGGTCCTGGGGAAGGGGGGGGGGGATGTCTGTGATGTCACCCTGCCCACTTCAGGCTGGGTCAGGTGGGATTGGGGAGGAGGGGACCTAGCGCCCTCTGTGGGTGTCTCCTCAAGCTGCGTGCATCAGCGGGAGGTACCCTCTGTTTGGGGAGAAGGGTGGACACAGGCCTGGGACACCCCACAGATGAAGCCACCCCAGCAGATCAGGGCTCTGCTGCCTACAGCTCTGTGACCCAGCCTGGGGTTCTCTGTGTGCTGGAGTCAATGTCTTCTTCATGGTGCATGGCTGAAAATCAGCCAGGGGATCTCACGCCTGTCGTACTAGCTACTTGGGAGGCTGAGACTAGGAGGATTGTGGTTCGAGGCCAACCGGGGCAAAAAAGCTTGCAAGACCTCATCTCAGCCGCGTAACTGGTGGTGGTGGTGAGCCTGTCATCCCACGCTCAGTGAAGATTGGGCAGACTGTGGTCCCAGACCAGCCCAGGCAGAAAGGCACATGCGGCCCCGTCTCCAGTTGGGGGAAGCTGTGGTGCCTGCCACAACAGAAGCCTGACCGACTGTGGCTCAGGCACACCCATGCAGAAAGCAAGACCCTGCCCTAAAAATAACCAGCGAAAACATGCCACGGAGGCATGGCTCAATGGTACCATGTCAGCCTAGCAAGCCTGGACCCTGAGTTCAAATCTCAGTACTGCCGGAAAGAGGGAGAGAATGGGGGGAGTCTCTGTAAACCATGCAGCCGTGTCCAAACGGAGCCTGGCATGGATTAGCCATCACTGCATCCAGGCCACAAGTGATGGCCTCAACTCATCTGCCCAGGGGCTCACCGGGGGCCAGGGGCCAGACAGTTCATACCCCAGCTCTGCCACCCGCGCACCCACATGCTCCCAAGCAAGCCACAGGCCTGTGGGAACAAGCAGAGGGCTCTGGAGTTCAGAGGCTCAAGGTCAAATGTCAACTGCATCTCCCATCGTCTTTTGAGCTTAGCTTTCCGATTTCCACCAAGCAGCCACAGGTGAGTCACGGGCTCCCTTCAGAATCTCTGTGGATGCCGCTGGGTTCACCCACCCTCGTGGGAGAATGGGCGCATGAAGGTCCTGCACTTCCCCGAGGTTTCCATGTCGCCAGCAACCAGCTCTCCTGAGCCCATCTACGAGGATTCAGCTCCCGAGAGCCCGGAGCACCGGGCGATGGTGACGTGAGAGCCTAAGCCACGAGGCCCCTGCCACCGTCCCAGCCAGGCCCACCTGAGGCCCCTGGGGCGAGGGCCACGTGACCTGAGGGCACAGGGAAAGCTCTGAGGGGAGGAGGAAATGCAGACTGACTTCCCATTCCACCCCACCTCCACCCGCTTCTTACTGGGAGTGCTGTCGTAGCTCCTGGCAAAGCCAGAGGCTCCCTTCTCCACCCCTCTGGGATGCCACTGCCTGCTGGCTAGCATTTAATGAGCATTTATCATGTGTCGCGAGGTTCACCAAGCATGCTGTCATCTAGTTCTCACAGAGTGAGAAGCAGCTGCCATTATCTTTATGTAACAGATTAGACACAAGAAGAGAGAGGCTTGTCAGGGTCACACAGGGGCCAGGGAGCAGACCCCCATTTGTGTGTGTGTGTGCACACACAGTCCTGGGACTTGAACTCAGGGCTTGCATGCTGTCCCTGAGCTTTTGTACTTGAGCCTAATGCTCTACCACTTAGAGCCACAGCTTAAATTCCAGTTTTTTGGTAGGTCATTGGAGATCAGAGCCTCATAGACTTTCTTGCCTGGGCTGCTTTTGAACCTCCATCCACGGATCTGAGCAGCATGAGCCACCAGTAGCCAGTTTCAATTTTGTTTAATGTTAAATTCCATCTTTCTGTCTCTCATATAGAGGCTGGCAGACCACAGCCCCCAGGCAAGCTGTCGCCTAACATCTGTGTTTGTAAATAAAGTTTTATTGGAACACAGTAAGCCCATTCATGTGGGCATTTGGCTGCTCAGCTGACAGTTGAGTAGCCAGACCAGACGGCAAAACTAGTTTAGCTCTGCCTTGCTCCACTGCTTAGCCTACCTCCCGTCTATTCTGTTTCTCTCCCACAACAGAAGGAGCTTAAAAGATAGTCGCTGCTTTTCTCTTCTCTCTGGGTGATCATTCATGCATTCATTCATTCACTCAGTCTGGCAAGGCCAAGTCTGGGCATTTTCTCATTAGATAAATGAGACCTTGACAGGACAGGAAGAGTCTTCAGCTAAGAAGACTGACAACCGAGGACATGGATGGAGATGGGCCCGAGCAGAGGAGTGAAGTCCACGGGAACAGCTCCTTAAAGGGAACAACCCCTTCATGCCCCAGACTTAAAAATAATGTGGACTTGGCCCTTCTGAGTTATGTCATGTAGGATCCTGACTTCTCAGATTGAAATCCTGTGCATAATTTTTTCCTGATCGAGGGGACTCAGAATTATTACCCTCTTTGGAAGTGAGGAGGCACCTGGGGAGCACTGGAAGGCTGCTTGAGGCCAACACCCTCTGCTGGCTGAGAGCTTGCGTGCCAGTGTCAAACAGCGCCCTCTGCTGGCTCATCTAATGCCTTGTCACACAGTGCCCTCTCTTGGCCCTGAGCTCAGATTCCTGCGTTCCTGGTCTTAGGCAGCGAATTACCCCTCTTTGCTAGGGATCAGATTCTGGGGATGCCTTACACGCCCACTCTTCCCCACTGCCTCCCTGGAGAAGTGAGCAGTCCTCCCTCCAGGAGGCTGCCTACTCAGTCACGTGTTGGTACCCACGTGGATGTGCACATTTGTACTAGGTTATCATCCAGCCCTGGGTCGTTCGTCTCAGATTGTCCCCTCCTTGGCTCGTCCATGTCTCCCCAACACACTTCTGCCGTTCCCTTGTTTGTTTTTATATCCTCTGGGGGCATCTATTCATTTTATGCTATTGGGGTTTTTTGGTTTGTTGTGTTTTGTTTTGTTTTTGCTTGAACTCAGGGCCTAGGTGCTGTCCCTGGGTCTCTTTATGATCACTATTTGACCCGCAGCACCACTTTCCGTTTTTTTGAGTAGTTTATTGGAGATAAGTGTCTCACAGACATATCTGCCCAGGCTGGCTTCAAACCACAATGCTCAGATCTCAGCCTCCTGAGTAGCAAGGATTACAGGTGTGAGCCACTGGCACCCCACTCATTGTATGCTATTGTTAAATGCTCTGGGTTCACGGTCTGGTTTCAGCCCAGCCTGGCATCAGACTGAGGTCTCTGCTCTTGATGTTTGGCTGGGGACCACAATTGCGTTATGTCAGGCCATTTTTCTAGCCCAGCCGGCATCTCTGTAAGCTCTGAGAAGCAAAGCCTGTGTGCATGGTAGAAGGTAACCATGAATGTGAGTGCACTCTGTTATAATGATTATGAAATATCTGTGCTCATCATTGTGGATCTAATAGCATAGATGCTCACTGAGTGTTTTGCCTTTGGCTGACTACTTGGGTCCCCAAGCCAAAGAACCTGGCCATTGACAAGTGGGTGAGTTTGCAAGCTCAACAGGCAGACATCAGGATGTCCATCTGGGAGGAAGACACGGGTGATGGAAGGAAGGCATGGGGGCTTTGTGACCATCAGTGTTCCTCTCAGGTCGCTGCTGTGCCCAGTCCTAACCACCTCTCCTCTCTTTTCTTGGAAGTACTAGGGTTTGAACTCAGGGCCTTTTACTTGCTAGCCAAATGAGTACTGAGCCACAGCTCCACTTCCAGCTTTTTGCTGTTTTGGAGATAAGAGTCTTACCAATTTTCTTTCCCAGACTGCCTCTGAACCCTAATCCTCAGATCTCAGCCTCCTGAGCAGCTAGGATTACAGGTGTGAGCCACTACCAGCTCCTGGCCAATATTCACACACACACACACACACACACATTTTAATATAATTTTGTTATTATTAAGGCGTTATATGGGGGGGGGGGGGTTACCATTTCACAATTCAGATAATGTGTCCAGGTAATTCAGGTAATGTTTTCCCTCCCTTCACTTTCCCCCATGCAGATATATTTAAACTCAAGTTTCTAAACCGAGGCTTGTTGCTAACTGCTGACTGGACCTAGACTCCACGCACATGCTCACGTGGGCACAGCCAGGCGCTCCCTGAACTAGAAGCCCTTCTTCTTTCCGGTGTTGTTTTCCTGTCACCCCGCTCCTCACAGATATGAGCAGCAGTTCTGATAACACCGTGACCTTGCTTGTGACAAAGTAGAGCTACCGAGTGCTGAAGCCCAGCTCTCACCTTCCAGCCAAAGCCCCTCCACCAGCACACCTCTTTTTGAGGGGATGCTTCATTTTCCACTGACAATCTCAAAGAGCTGAGGCAGTATTTTATTAGCATTGCTGGGGATCGAACCCAGGGCTTCACACATGCTAAGCAAGTGATGCACTCCGAGCAGCTCCCCGGGTCCCTGACTGTAGCCTGTGCTGTATTTTGTATAGCCCCCCCCCCTCCCCACCCCGTTAGGAACCCAGTTAACAGGCTCTGTGTCTGCATGGGACACCATCTCTGCCCAGCTTCCCACACTAAGAGGTTCAGGGCCAGGCCCCAGTCAGGGGTCCTGAGCCACTACCTCTGCTGGGTGCCCCTCCCCATAGCTGACTCATTTACAGTGGCTATGTGTGGAAACAATGCAGACAGCCATCACAGATACATGGATAAACACACCATGGTCTAGCCGTACAGTAGAACACGACTCAGCCTTTAAAAAGCAAGAACATCCATATACATGAGGACATTGAGCCAGTCTCAAACTGACAAACACAGTTTCCTCATATACAAAGCTCAAGGACAGTCAGTTTCATAGAGGCCGAAGAGGGGTTGGCAGTGACCAGGGCCGCAGGGGAGAGGAAGGGGGAGTCGTTAATGGGAACAGTTTTGCTTTCATAAGATAAATAGTTCACCAAGTGCCTGAGCTCATGCCTGCAATCCCAGCTACTGGGGAGGCTGAGATCTGAGGCTCGCCTTCCAAAGCCTCGAGCAGGGCTGCCGCATCCTCAAGTCCAAGAGGCCAGGGTGGCCTCCCGGTGTCCAGCTCATTCTCCCTGGGTCTCCTTGGCTCTTGATTGGATCCCATGTCCCCACCCTGAGCCAATCCCTCAGGCCTAGGATTGTTATTGGCTGGTGGCTCAGCCCTACCCACCACCATGGGCTGCAGTTTTCCTTGTCCAGCTGAGCGCCCGCACCACCAGGCCACAAGCAGCCAACATAGGGTGCACCCGTGCACCTCACCCTCCAGATTTGTGTTCTAGACAGATGGGGGGGGGGTCATTTACCCCATGACCTGTGACCCAGAGCGTGCTCTGTGAGAAGTAGGTGTGTCCACTGTGGTGAGGGACAGCTCTCATCTGGGTCATGATTTAACCACACAGCCTGAGCGAGGGCAGGCCCACCATGAGCAGGACCAGGGCCAGGCCCCCCTCGCTGGCCTCCGCTGGGTTGGATGGGTCCTGGTGGCTTCCTGCTGAATGGCCTGCCCCAGGTCTGAGAGTGGAGACTCCCTGCACAGACACCTGTAGCTTGCCTCGGGCACCAGGGGAGCTGGGTGCTGAGGACCAGGGCTGGCAAGCCTGCCCCCCAGGGCTCGGCCTGGGGACATGTTGGAAGGAGGACAGGCGATGGCCAGAGACTGGGTGACCTGCTTGCACTTCCTTTTCCTTGTGTGGGTCATGGCACTTGAACTCGGGGCCTGGGTGCTGTCTGGGATTTTCTGCTCTATCAGCTGAGCCACAGCTCCACTTCTGGCTTTTCTTTCTTTCTCTCTTTCTTTCTTTCTTTCTTCCTTTCCTTCCTTCCTTCCTTCCTTCTTTCTTTCTCTCTCTGTCTTTCTTTCTTCCTTCCCTTCTTTCTTTCTTTCTTCCTTCCTTCCTCCCTCCCTCCCTCCCTTCCTTCCTTCCTTCTTTCTGTCTTTCTTCCTTCCTTCCTTCCTTCCTTCTTTCTTTCTCTTTCTTTCTTTCTTCCCTTCTTTCTTTCTTTCTCTCTCTCTCTCTTTCTTTCTTCCTTCCCTTCTTTCTTTCTTTCTTTCTTCTTCCTTCCTTCCTTCTTTCTTTCTCTTTCTTTCTCTCTCTCTCTTTCTTTCTTTCTTCCTTCCTTCCCTTCTTTCTTTCTTTCTTCCTTCCTTCCTTCCTTCCTCCCTCCCTCCCTCCCTCCGTTCCTTCCTTCCTTCTTTCTCTCTCTCTTTCTTTCTTCCTTCCTTCCTTCCTTCTTTCTCTCTCTCTTTCTTTCTTCCTTCCTTCCTTCTTTCTTTCTTTCTTCCCTTCTTTCTTTCTTTCTTTCTTTCTTTCTCTCTCTCTTTCTTTCTTTCTTCCTTCCCTTCTTTCTTTCTTTCTTCCTTCCCTTCTTTCTTCTTTCCTGGTTAATTGGAAATAAGAGTCGTGCAAACTTTCCCACCCAGCTGGCTTTGAACTGTGATGCTCAGACCTCAGGCTCCTGAGTAGCTGGGATTACAGGCGTGAGCACCAGCAGCCAGCTTGCACTCTTCTTTTCAGCCACTGTGTGAGTGCCAGTCACATACGTGCCAGGCATCCATTCTGGGGGCCACAATCCCATGTGAGGGAGGTGGAAGGGAAGGCCCGATCCCCTCAGGGCCATCCCACCAGCTCAGCACCCAGTGCCTCGTACCGTGGAGACAGCACACGGCCTTGCCTGGCCAAGCGCCTCACAGACCTGGGTGGATCTGTATGGGAGGGTATGATGTGAACGTGATGGTGCGTTGGAGGAATGTCCTGGAAGGCTTCCTGGAGGAGGCAACTCGAGCCACCACCTAGGCTGGCAGTTTTGTGGCAGGGCCCAAGGGTGCAGGGCAGAGCGGCTGACCACCCGCCATCCTTCCCCTCCTGCCCTGCAGGTCTCCTACGCCTGGGTGCAGGGCCCGCCCCCCTGGCCTGGCCAGCAGTCACCTCGGGCCACCCTCCCGCCAAACCACCTGTTCTCACCGCCACATATGCCCTTCCACCATGGCATCCGGCCAATGCCAGTGCAGAGGAGCTGGTCCCAGGGCTTCCCCGGGCCCTCCATGGTCCCGCCTGCCGCGTACCAGCGGCCAGTCAGCGCCGGCGGGAAGGTGTTCTTCACCATGGACCCCAAGTCTCCGGTCATCAAGCAAGGTATGCACACGGCTCTGGCAGGCTTCCAGGAGGGACTTAGAGCCCTAGTTGTGGACCTTATTTCCTGCCCAGGCTGGCTTTGAACCGCCGTTCTCCAAGCATCAGCCTTCCTGACTAGCTAAACCCAGCTAACGGTTTATCTTTTGCCTATAAAATTAACATACCCCATGCATTCGTTGTTGTCATATAACGAATTATATGCTAAAAGTCTGTGACCCAAAACACAGCAGGTAAGAATCTTACATATGCAACAGGTCTTAAGGGTCAGGAATTTGGGGTTAACAGCCCTGGGGTCCTGACTCAAAAAGCCAAAAGCGAATCAGGCACCTGTACCTCACACCTGTAATCCCAGCTACCCAGGAGGCTGAGAGCTGAGGATCGCCATTAGAAACCAGCCCAGACTGAAAAAAATTGATTCCTGTTATCTCCAATGCACCACCAAAAGCCAGCAGAACTGTGGCCCAAATGGTAGAGTGCCAGCCTTGAGCAAAAAAACTAAGGAAGAGGGAGGTTGGCGCCAGTGGCTCACGCCTGTAATCCTAGCTACTCAGGAGGCCGAGATCTGAGGATCACGGTTCAGCGCCAGCCCGGGCAAGAAAGTCAGTGAGACCCTTATCTCCAATAAATCACCAGAAAACCGGAAGTGACGCTGTGGATCAATTGGTAGAGCACTTGCCTTGAGCTGAAGAGCTGAAGGACAGTGTCCAGGCCCAGAGTTCAAGCTCTACGACCAACCAAAAAAAAAAAAAAAAAAAGCTAAGGAACAGTGCCCAGACCCTGAGTTCAAGTCTCAGTTGGAACACACACACACACACACACACACAGAATGGTATCATAAAACATCTGGCATGCGATGCTTCGGTGCCTGCCACAGGCTGAGCGAGGAGTTCTCACCACCTCACAGTGTTCTGGGCATCAAGATGTAACATGGGTTTCCCCGCTCACACAGCTAGCCAGCTTTCTGCCACTGTGACAAAATACTTGACCTAATAGATTTAAAGAGAGGAGAGGTTTGTGTGGGCCAGGGTTTGGAGGGCTTCAGTCCGTGTCCCACAGCCTCGGTGATGGCACAGTTTACTGTGGCAGGAGCATGGGGTGGTGGCCGAAAAGCGAAGAGGGGGCTCCCAGACCCTCCTGGAAGATACATTGCCAGGGACCTAACTTCCTTCCGCAGGGCCTTGTGGTGAAGGCCACACCAAGGTCTGTATGTGGCCTTGGGGATAGGACAGAGCAAAGGGTCAGTTAGTGCTGGGGACAGGAGTAAGGCAGCCCCTCCACGCCTGGGCCTCCTGCAGCCATTGCTGCTTTTCAGTGTCCCCCCCACCCCACCCCTGCCCTCAGCGCTCAGGTCTACAAAGAGCCCTCAAGCTTCCCAGCACTTACTGAGCCTTTTGTGTCCTCTGTCACTCATTTGTCCAAGTGTGGGCCAGCACGGTGGAACTGTCAGAAGAAACAGTGACTGAAGGGCTCCCTGGGCCTATTCCTCCCACAGAGATCTTTATGGACCCGGAACTGAGCCAGCAGGAAAAGGTGAGGGGTCTTGGGGGAGAAGGACAGGGCCCAGCACCCATCAGCCACAGAGGGACTTACTGCTGCTTATCTCACCTGAACTCATGTCTCCGCAACAGCAACTGCAAGCACTGTTACACCTACTGTGTGCTAGACTCTGTTCTGTGCCACAGGCTTTTATCTTGTCCAGTTGGGCCAGAAAACAGGGTTATTGACCAGTTCAAGCAGGAAGGAAAAGGACACTCTTCCTCTTAGAATCCTTTGTCAACTCTGAAAGGAAGGAAGACTTTCTTTCCTCTTGGAACATCTGAGGAAATTTGACTGGACAGCCTGGGTATCCAGGCATGGGGAGGCAGGACAGGAAGAGGCATGGTGCCTGATTGTCATCCCACAGGGCCACATGGGTTGGATAGGAAGGCTCCATCAGGAAGGCATCGGCTCTTAACTTTAAGACCTTGTTCTGCTTTGAATTGACATTAGTACAGGGGAGAAGGAGGGACGGTGGGAGGGAGAGAGAGAGAGAGAAAGAAGGAAAGAGATCTGGGTTCAGTCTTCTGCATGTGGATATCCAGTTGTCCAAGTACCATTTACTGAAGAGGCTATCTTTTCTCTGAGGTGCATTTTGGGCTCCAGCTGTCAGTGCATGGATTTCTTTCTGGGTCTTTCCATCTGTTCCTTTGGTCTGTGAGTCTCTTTTATGTCAGCACTGTGCTATTTTTGTCCCTGTGGCTCAGTAGGAGTATAATTTGAAGCCAGGTATCATGGCATGGTGGCGCGCTCTGCTCAGGATCCCTTTGGCTCTGTGAGGTCTCTCATGCTTCCATATGAATTTTAGGATTGATTTCTAGCAATGCTGTGAGGGATGTTGGGGTTTCTGTGGGTGCTGCACTGAATGTGGATTTGTAGATTGCTTCTGGGTTTCTTTTTTTTTTTTTTTTTTGGGTCCGGTCGTGAGGCCTGAACTCTGGGCCTGGGCGCTGTCCCTCAGCTCTTCAGCTCAAAGCTAGTGCTCTACCACTTGAGCCACAGCGCCACTTCCGGCTTTTTTCTTTTTGCTTATGTGGTGCTGAGGAATCGAACCCAGGGCCTCAGGCATGCAAGGCAAGCGCTCTACCACTGGGCCACCTTCCCAGCCCTGTAGATTGCTTCTGGCAGCATGGTTGTTGTTATGACATGGCCAATCCATGAGCATGAGCAATCTTTCCATCTTCTTGTGTTGTCTTCAGAGTCTTTCTTCATGGTTTTATAGTTTTTATTATGGCCTTTTGCCTTCTTGGTTATGCTTATTCTTAGGTTTGTTTGTTGTTGTTGTGGGGGTTTTTTTGGGGGGCGGTGAGGTCATTTCCATACCTTAGATTCATTTGGGTAAATGCCCGGTGCTCACTGGATCCAAAGCTAGCTCTGTTTTTCGTGTTTTGAGGAAGCTCCGTGCTGACTTGCATAGCTGTGGCACTGGTTTGCATTCCCACCCACAGTGCAGGGTGGTTCCTTTTGCTCGTCAGTATGCATGGTTGCCTGTGTCCCTGGTGATGGCCAATCTTACTGGGGTGAAATGGCATCTCAGAGTCATTTGATCCATATTTTTTTCATGTTGAATATCCCTTATGTATTTGCTGGCCATTTGTACTTTCAGGAATTATCCATTGCATTCATTTGTTCCTCTATTAATTGGGTGGTTGTTTCTTTGAGAGTTGAGTTTTTTGAGCTCCCTGTAGGTCCTGGTTATTTCTCTCTCATCAGATGTACAGCTGGCAAAGATTTTCTCCCATTCTGTGAGCCGGGACTTCAGTCTGGTGACCCTTGCCTTTGCTGTGCAGGTTGATTGGTTCCATCTGTTTCTAATTTGATGCGATCCTTGCTCTTATTTCTGAGTATTAGAGTTCTATTCAGGAAAGTCCTGTCTATGTAAATAAGTTTTCACTATTCCATCCATTCAGGTCTTACCTTAAGATCCTACACTCCAGTGCCCAGCACAGAGCCTGGCACATAGCCAGTGCTCAACAAATGTCAGCTATGCATTGTATAATGACAGAGGACCCACTGAGCATATACTGGGTAGCTTTGTATGACACAGGGGGCTCCCTGAAAACTCAGATCTACAGCCATTATCCCTCCAACTTCTGCCACAGGTGTTCCCAAGAGCCCGGAGAAAGAGCAGGTGCTGGCCAGGCCAGAGGGGCCCCCTCATACCCTGTCCCATCCCTCCTGGGTCTGAGGCCCCTTCAGAGCTCAACAAGCCGCATGCTGAGCTGGAATCTGGACCATAGGAAGTGGCTAGAAGAGTGAGGGCCCTTTAAAAAAATGAATCAAGCCGGGCACTGGTGGCTCACATCTATAATCCTAATTACTCAGGAGGCTGAGATCTGAGGATCACAATTCAGAGCCAGCCTGGGCAGGAAAATCTCTGAGCCTTATCTCCAATTAACTACCAAAAGGCCAGCAGTAGAACTGTGAGTCAAGTGATAGAGCACTAGCCTTGAGCAAAAAAAGCTCAGGGATAGCACCTAGACTCAGGGTTCAAGCCTCAGGACCAGCATACACACACACACACACACACACACACACACACACACACACACACACACACACACACACAAAACCCTCAATGAATTGGATTTTTTTTCCAAGTCTTTGTGTATGTGTGGGAGGGGGGTGGTCCTGGGGCTTGAACTCTAGTCCTGAACACTGTCCCTCACTCTTCAGCTCAAGGCTAGCACTCTACCACTTGAACCACAGTGCTACTTCCGGTTTCCTAGTGATTAATTGGAGATAAGAGTTTCAGGGACTTCGGGGCTGGGAAGGTGGCTCAGTGGTAGAGCGCTTGCCTTGCATGAGTGAGGCCCTTGGTTCGATTCCTCAGCACCACATAAGCAAAAAGAAAAAAGCCAGAAGTGGTGCTGTGGCTCAAGTGGTAGAGTGCTATAGAGTGCTACCTTGAGCTGAAGAGCTGAGGGACAGTGCCCAAGCCCAGATTCAGGCCCCATGACCAGACCCCCCACCCCCAAAAAACAAAAAAAAAGAGTTTCAGGGACTTTCCTGCCCAAGCTGGCTTTGAACCATGATCCTCAGATCTCAGCCTCCTGAGTAGCTAGGATTACAGGCATGAGCCACTGGAGCCTGGCTTCCCAGTCTTTCTGATATGTGATTTGATGACTTCTGGTGAGAAGTTTGGGGAGTTCTCCCCCTTTTTGGAGCCCTAAGTTCTTAGTCACAGTGCTTCTCATGAGGCGGGCTGAGGCTGGCTTCATTGTACCTGGGGGAGGATGGGGCGGGGATAGAGACCCCAAGGCTTCCATGAATCCCCACAAATAAATCTCCACTGATCTTGCAGGAAGGTGTCTCTGTGTGCACAGCCCAAGGAATCACGGAGCACCAGAGAGGCGGGGGAAAGTCATAGCCCTGGCCACAGACTGATCAAAACAAAGGCCATTTTCCCAATGACCCGAGGCCCAGTCAGTAGTTCCTACAAAGATTTCACTGTTCTCAACCTCCAAGTGGAATCTCAGGGCTCCGGGGAGCTTCCATCCTTTCCTCTGGGGTTGTGTGGATTTGAACTGAACCCCAATCTCTGAGGCTTTCCCCGTGGTGGGGACAGCTCACAGCCCCCCACCCCACCCCTCCGCTGGTCCTGGCTCAGGGAGGCCCCGAGTGACCCCGGGTCTCCTCACAGGACGAGATCATCCTGCTCCTGGGCAGAGAGGTGAACCGGCTCTCAGATTTCGAAGTCGAGTCCAAATACAAAGACGCGGTGATCATGAACCTGCAGCACGAGGTGTCTGACCTGAGCTACCGGCTGTCCGAGTCGACTGCCTGCATGCTGAGCGAACGGGGTGCACCCAGCAAGGGCCCTGGGCCCAGCGAGGCCACTGACCTCAGCCAGAGCGAGATCCAGAGCCTGAAAAGCCAGGTAGGACTCGGGGACGGCTCCATCAGGGGGCACCTGGAGACAGCATGGCCAGAGACACCCAGACTTTGCCTAGACCTTGCACAGCAGGGCACTGGGACTTGGAGTCTGCCCCCTACTCACCCCACACAGTCACTCCACTTCCTGTTTCCAGTTAGCTATCAGAGAGAGGAGTTCCTAGACCCTCCCACTCCCAGACATGGAGATTTCTAACCAAACCCTGAAGGCGGCTTCCCTATGGGAATTCCGTGAGATAAAACTTTCCAGCCAGGCCGAGGTTGACCAGGAGCCTGGACACTGCAGCCAGATTCCTTTCAGTTAAAAAGAAATTTGGTCACTGAGTTTGGGTGTGTGTGTGTGTGTGTGTGTGTGTGTGTGTGTGTGTGTGTGTGTGTGTGTGTGTGTGTGTGTGTGTGTGTGTGTGTGTGTGTGTGTGTGTGTGTGTGTGTGTGTGTGTGTGTGTGTGTGTGTGTGTGTGTGTGTGTTCAAAGCAGGACTGAGGTTTGAATTCCAGGTGTTAAGCTTGCTAGTTAGTTGCTGTAGCACTTGAGCAAAACATCCAGCTCTCTTCTGCTTTTCAGTTATTTTTCAAATTAGGGTCTCATTTTTTTTACCCAGGCTGGCCTGGATAGATCCTCCTACTTATGCTTCCCACATAGCTGGAATGACAGGCATGCACTACCACACCCAGTTTATTTATTGAGATGGGGTCTTGCTACAACCCCCACCTCAGGGCTGGTCTCAAACTGCCGTCCTCTGGATCTCATCCTCCCAGGTTCTAGGGCCCCAGGTGGAACCACTGTGCTTAGACCTGGAGCTTGTTGCTGTGGTTGTCGTTGTCACTCTCAGCATTTTTGTCTGCTTGTTTGTTGTTTTTTGAGACAGGGTGGAGCTCTGCAGCCCAGAAAGGCCTCACGCCTAAGATCACCCAGCCTCAGCCCTGAAGTACTGGGATTACAGGCATGTGCCACCCGCCTAGCTGTGGCTGTAAATGTTGTACATAAGTTATATCTCAGCAACACTGATGAGAAAAGAAATGGGCTGTTAACAGCCAGTTGTTGTTGGCCTTGATGCACGGGGCTGCCTGACCATGGACCAGCCTGGGGCTCTGCTCTCTGGCCCTGCTTCTGGCCTGTCCCTTCTCTCCCCAGCTCACGAAGCACTGTTGCAAAGCTATGTGCCAGTGGCTCATGCCTGTAATCTCAGCTCCTCAGGAGGCTGAGGCCTAGAGGATAGAGGTACAAAGCCAGAGAGAGCAGAAAAGTTCCCAAGACTTCAATGCCAACTAAAGCTGGACTGGAGGCATGGCCCAAGTGGTAGAGCATCTTCTGAGAGCAAGCAGAGCTGGGCTAGACAGACTCTAAGTTCAAGCCCTGGGCAAAGGGAGAGGGGGTGCTGAGGAAGGAAGTTCTGAAAACAACACCCCAAAGAAAGGCATGGCTTCTGCACGGTGAGGCCAGGCCAGTCTACCTGGGCAAGAAATGGCCCGTTTCCCTTCAGAGCTCTGGGTACAGCCAGGCCCTTTTCTTAGTCAACCGAAGTCCCTAAATGCTTGTAAAGAGTATTCCAGATAGCTGGGCGCCGGTGGCTCACGCCTGTAATCCTAGCTACTCAGGAGGCTGAGATTTGAGGATCATGGTTCAAAGCCAGCACGGGCAAGGAAAGTCCGTGAGACTCTTATCTCTAATAAACCACTAGAAAACCAGAAGTGGCGCTGTGGCTCAAGCAGTAGAGCGCTCGCCTTGAGCTGAAGAGCTGAGGGACAGCGCCCAAGCCTAGAGTTCAAGCCCCACAACCGACCAAAAAAAAAGAATATTCCAGAAATGAGCAGCGTCACTATAATTGTCCTAGTTTGCGGTCCACTGTTATTAATCTCTCACCCCTGTCTAATCTGTCAGTTACGCTTGGCCATGGGTGTGTGCCTGGGGAGCACCAGTAGGCTCTGGTGCCCCCTGCAGAGCCGGGCCCCACCTGGGCTCAGACCTCAGCCCCACAGGAAAGGGGGCCATGCAGCGAGCCACGTTCTGCTTTGTTTTGGATTTGTTTTTTGTGCTTGCGTTAGAGTTTGAACTCAGGGCCTGGGTTGTTGTTATTGTTTAACTGCAGGTTGTCACTCTACCACTTGAGCCACACACAGCTCCATTTTCCATTTTTTGCTGGTTCACTGGAGATAAAGAGTGTCACAGATTTTTCCCGTCCAGGCTGGCCTGGAAGCGAGATCCTCAGCTCTCAGCCTTCTAAGGAGCTGGGATTACAGGCATGAGCCACCAGCACCCAGTTTGTGTCTGTCACGCCTTCATTTGTCCATTCATTTGTTCATCCTCATGGCTCTCGTTGCCCTCCTGTCCTCCAGGCTGAGAACAGGTCAGGGAGCAAGGCAGACGTGACCAGCCTCCGCCCCGCCCCGTTCTGCTGCAGCTTAAGTTGTCCATGTGCCGGGAAGGGGGGGGTTGGTTCACCAGCCCAGCACACTATTAGGAAGTGTTACCCTCTAAGAGGAGGGGGCTTAGCAGAAGGAAGTTAGGTCACTGGTGACATTGAAAGACACTGGGGCCCCGACCCCTGCTCTGGCTCTTAGTATCCTGTCTACCACGAGGCAGCCGCTTCCTCTATCACACCTGCCCCCTTCTCCGCAGGCCCAAAGCCATCAGGTCAACTCAGTATAGCCTGGAACCTGGGAAGCTGAGAGCCAGGAGAAACCTTTCCTCTTTTTAAGTTGATTATCTCAGTAATTTTGTTGCAGGGGCTCACTGACTCCTGCCCCACTGGACCGAAACAGAATAACAAGTGAACAGTGCATCCTCTGACTTTTAGACAAAGGAATGACCTTCTTCAAGACATGGGAATGACCTTTCTTGAAACGCTTTTTTTTTTTTAAAGAACACGTTTTTTTTCCAGCAAAGAATTTTCTAGAAATTAGCACTCTGTTTTACCTACTGTTGCCTACACCTTCTACGTGACTCTTTTGGGTTTTGTTTTCGTGGCAGTGCTGAACTCACAGCCTCGTATTGCTGGGCAGGCACTCTACCTCTAGCTCTTTCTGCACTAGTTATTTTTTGAGATAGGATCTCACTTTTTACCTGGGCTGGCACCTAGTCCTCCATCTGCCTACAGATGTAGCTAGATGGCAGACACCCACGGATATCCCATCTTGTTCTGTTGAGATGGAGTGTCCTAGACTTTACTTCTCAGGCTGGCCTGGAACCTTGATCTTCCTGAGCTCTGCCTCTCAGGGAGCTGGCATGACAGACACGAGCCCCTGTGCCAGCTCACCTGGAACTTTACTTACAACTAAAGGAAAATGCTTCCTAACAGGATGTCTCTGCACTAAAGGATGCAAATGAATTAAATTCAAGTCCACAGTTTTTAGTTAAGGTTCTTAAAGATTCTATCACCAGCAGAACATGGAGTTAGAAGTGCCAGCCAGGTGGTGGGCTGACTTTGTGTTCTGATTAATTTCTGTGTTCTCCCATTTCCCTAAAATACATGTGATATGACTCATCATCAAGAATCTTTGACTGAGCAGCAGTGGCTAGGATTCTTGCTACTCAGGAGGCTGAGATCACAGTTCAAAGCCAGCTAGGGAAGAAAAGTCTATGAGACTTTTATCTCCAATTAATCTACAAAAAGCCAGGTGTGGATCAAGTAGTGGAGCACCACCCTTGAGTGAAAAAGACAAGGGATAGGGCCCAGGCTCTGAATTCAAACCCAGTACAGTATTGAAAAACAAAACAAAAACAAAAACACAATCACCCACTATAATGGAGAAACTCCGTCCACACTGCCCACGCCATTGCTAACTTAGCAGCAGATTTTACCCTTAGGCTCTCGCTTTTCCTGGGACTGTGAAATTTCTTATGATTACAATGCCCATATTTTTGCAATAATAGAACATCTCGGTAGGTATGCTAGTTAGAGACAATCTGGACATTTATTTTGATAGTAAAATAATCCCAAAGTTTGAGAAGTGTGCTTCCCTGCAGCCTGAATTCTAACGCTCTGAAAGCTACTTAGGTTGAATTGTTTCATATCTGTCACACATAGCACTGGAATCTTTGGGAGCCATTTTTCCCCTTGGGTGAGTTTGTCTTCCTGCAAATAGAGGCATAGAGTGAGGAACTAGAAACAAGTTTTTATTCTGAGTGTCTTCCATGGGACAGTCTATTTCTTCTTAAAAAAAAAAAATAAACAGGAAAAGGTCAGGCTTTTGTTTTTGTGGGTTTTATTGTTGTTTGTTTTTTGCTTTAGGCTTTTGGGTTTTTTCTTATTTATTTATTTATTTACTTATTTGTCAGTCGTGGGGCTTGGACTCTGGGCCTGGGCACTGCCCCTCAGCTCTTCAGCGCCACTTCTGGTTTTCTGGTGGTTTATTGGAGATAAGAGTCTCACAGTCTTTCCTGCCCAGGCCGGCTTTGAACCATGATCCTCAGATCTCACCCACCTGAGTAGCTAGGATTACAGGTGTGAGCCACTGGCACCCAGCTCTTTTTGTTTTTTATTCAGTGTTTTCAAAACACAAACATGGGAAAGAGTAGCCCTGAGGAGGAAGTGGGGTGACTGAGCTGTGTCCCCCCTCTGCCAACATTCACCCCTCCTAAGGTAAATCAGATGCCTCAAGGGAAAAGAGAGTGTCTCCCCCACACCCCCCCCCCCCGGCCCCCAGTGAGTCACAGAATCTAAACTGCCATGGCCATGAAATGAGCTGTGCAGACTATGAAACGTTGATGCTCCTGTGAATGCAGAGTAATTATCACAGCCCCGGGACAGAGGCAGAGGACAAGGACTATGAGCGCCATCTCGTGGCAAGGCCATGTCATGGCCAGGCCCCGGGCCCTCCCTGAGTCCCCTGTGCCTCCCTGCATCCCCTGTGGTCTTCAGGCCCCCACCAGGCCTCCGCTCCTCACCATCACACATAACCCTGTTAGGTGGGCTCCACCTGCCTTCCTGCCCCATGGCAGACAGCAGAAGCCACAGCTAGCACACGTGGTTCTGTACAACTCGGGCCATGCATGGTCCAAGCACACTTATGTGTATTAACTTACTAGAACACTTTCCTAAGAGAGGAAGGCCACCCGCTGAAGGTGGTGGCTCTGTGTTTCAGACCCCAGCTTACAGTGCTGGGCTCAGACTGCCCAGACCTCCCCTGAGGCCTAAGCAAGTGACCCGCCCCTTGGAGCCTTGGTTTCCTCTCCTGAAAAGCAGGAACAGGATGGGGGACCCCACGCAGCCAAGCCTGAACCCTGGTAAGCCCAAAGTGCATGTCACACTGGTGGCATGTGATGTGTGTTGCTGAGGAGCAGGCCTTCCCTGGCCCCTCCACTCCCGAGGCCTCCAGAGCTGGGCTTCCCTCCTCCTGAATCCATCCCTGAGACTTCTGCCCTGCCCCATGTGTCTGGGCCAGCACCCTCTGACACTGCACTGCCTGTTCCTTCAGATCAATGCCCTTCAGAAAGGCTACAGCGAGGTGCTGTGCCAAACCCTGTTGGAACGGAACACAGAAATCACCTCCCTGAAGAACGAGGGTGAGAACTTGAAGAAGGACAATGCCATCTCATCCGGTGAGTGCTTGTGGGACTGGGATTAGCAGATGTTACTCTGTCACCCATTCCCCTGGCCCGGACAGACATCACCAATCAACTTCCGATCACAGCCTCTAAGTTCCTCAAGGATCTTTACACACAACACTGTCTGTGAATCTGATATGTCAATTGGCCATCAGGCCCCAGCACACATGCCCAGGGCACCATGTCCTGAGGTGCAGTTCATTCTCACAGTGGGATTCTGACCATGCTGTCTGTCCCTTGTCCCAGAGACATGCCTGGGAGATACTTACCAACAACTTAGACACAAACGTTCTTCCCAGAAAAGAGCTATGAGCTATGTGCCACTGTGTGTCTGTGTCCTCCCCTCCCCTTGCATTGCTTGTTGGTCTAGCCCAAGCATTCAGTGGATAAAACAACAGATACATGCATTACCTGGCCCAGTTTCTAGGGTTCGGGAATGGGGGGGGGGTGACGTAGCCGTGACACAGGGCCTGCCCAAGGTGGCACTCAACATTGGCCAGGGCCTGGCATGTCCTTGGGCGGCAGCTGAAGGTCCCCATCCAGAGCCTCCCATGTGGCCTCAGCCCCTCAGCAACCCAGCTTTTCCCTGCCTCTGCCTAAGAGTTCTTGTGTCCTAGCCTAGCAAGTCCCCCCACCATTCTCACAGGGTCAGCCTGGCTGGGGAGGAGGGAGGGGGGAGGGGGGCCAAGGCCTTGCAGCCAGGAGGCAGGGACCACGGGGAGTGATCCACAATCAGGCCCAGGTGCCAGGTGACAAACTCTGTGTACACCGAGCTCACAGGTAGTAGAAACGGGGTTCACTCATTGTGACTCCTGTGTCCCCCATCAATAGCCTCTAAGACATACCTCCCACCACAGCCCCCTCTCAGGTCCTCCTCAGGACCCCTCTCTGCTGGGCCATGGTGTGGGTGTGTCACAGGGTCCCCCATCTTTTTCCAGCCCTGGTAACAACCCCAGTTCCTCCAGATACTCCCTGAGACCTGCACCAGCCCACTAAGTGGCCGTTGGTTTCAGCTGCGTTCTGGCTTCTGGGAACCGTGTAGATGCCAGCTGCCCCCTTCCCCCCATTCCTCAATGCCAGGGTCCCCTCGAGCTGGCTGACCGCACAGCCATGACCGTTCCCCAACTGCCTGGTGATCGTGGGCCCTCTGTTGTTGCAGAGATGGTGACATCTTTGCAAAAAGACGTGTTGGCGAAAACTGAGCAGATTCAGCAGCTGAAGGAGGAGGTCAACCAGCTGAAAAGCAAGAACAACGAAAAGGACCAGCAGCTGGAGGCGCTGGGCTCCCGCGTGAGTGCCGCCCTGCACACCTTCCGCCCACGCCCGGGAGCAGCCGCCCGGGAGGACTTCCGTGCCAGCACTGGGCCAGCACTCAGGACCTCGCGCCATTGTTCAGTTTTTCTCACACAGCTGGTGCTTTACCATTGATCCACACCTCCACTACTAGATTTTTGCAGGTTTTGTCTGCCTGGGTTGGCTCTGAACTGGGATTCTCAGATCTCAGCCTGCTAGTCTGGCCTTTGGAATCAGGCTGTGCCACTGGCATGGTTCAGCAGGAAATGCCCTGGCCCCCCACCAAGGTGGCCAGCATGGCACCTGGAGCTTGCTGGCCTTTGTCTCCACAGTGCACAGATCTGAAAGAAGAGTTAAGAAAGGAAGAGGTCCAAAAGGAGCACCATGAAGCCCAGGAGAAAGAGTTAAAATTCTGCAAAAATGTAAGTGGAACTTCCTTCTTCAGAAGCACGCACAGGAAAATGAGGCTGTGGCCCCTGGGTTCCCAATGGGAGCCTGGCCAAAACCACAAGGCCTCGGGTGTGTGTGCTCTGTAGAGCACTCTTAAAATTCTCCCTTGCTGTCCAAAGCCCCAACAAGAGGAAGAACTGGAAGTGGGGGATGGCTCTCCCAGGGTGCTCCAGGAACTTGGCTCCATTTTCCTCACGACTTGGCCCTAGGGCTGAGCAGGGACAGGGACAGGCTAGTGGCCAGCTGGCTACCATATACTTCCCAGTTGCTAACACAGCTTCTTCCAAAGGCATTTTTATTTAAATGCATCAATAGGATACTAATCACAAAAAAAGAAAAAAATGTTTTGCATTTGCCTCGTGTGTTATTTATGTATGTATTAATTTAGTTGTTTGTTTTTTTGTGCTGGTACTGAGCTTGAACTCAAGGCCTAGATGATGCTGTCCCTTAGTTTTTTTTTTCCACTCACAGCTGGTACTCTATCACTTGAACCACAGCTCTAGTTCTGGCTTTTTGCTGGTTCATTGGAGATGACTTTTCTTCCTGGGCTGGCCTTGAACTATGATTCTCAGATCTCAGCCTCCTGAATAGCTGGGCTTATAGGCATGAGCCACTAGTACCCAGTTAGCATTTGCCCTGTTTGGAAAACAGCCATAAAAATAAGAGCAGAAAGCCGGGCGCTGGTGGCTCATGCCTGTAATCCTAACTACTCTAGAGGCTGAGATCTCAGGATCCCGGTTCAAAGCCAGCCCAGGCAGGAAAGTCCATGAAACTCTTATCTCCAATTAACCACCAGAAAGCCGGAAGTGGTGCTGTGGTTCAAGTGGTAGAGTGCTTGCCTTGAGCTAAAGAGTTCAGGGACAGCGCCCAGGCCCAGAGTTCAAGCCCCCATGACCAACAAAAACAAACCAATAATAAGAGCGATGGAAAAAGGAGAGTTATTAAAATGTGTTTCCTCCACTGCTTGAGCCCTGTCCATTACACCCTCCATTCCCGGACCACCAAGAAAAAACACTTCATGTAGGGCAATTCTTCTCTGTCTCAAAGAGGAAAAAAGACAGCTCTAGGCTTCTATATAATTGGCCCTTTTTTATGTCAGTTTATCTCAAAAACTCTATCCCCTCCCCCCATCCCCAAAAAAGGGATTTCACCAGTATCCCAGGATTTATTCTGCACTTCATGGGCTGGAAACGTGGCTTAGTGGTAGAGTGTTTGCCTAGCACACTTGAAGTACCACATAAAGAGACAAAGCCAGAAGTGGCACTGTGGCTCAGGTAATAGAGTGCTAGCCTTTAGCACAGAGAGGCTCAGGGACAGTGCCCAAGCCCTGAGTTCAAGCTCCAGGACTGGCAAAAAAAAAAAAAAAGACAGTATTTTCCACTGTGCCCCAGTGGCTTAGTCCTGTAAACTTAGCTACTCATGAGACTGAGATCAGAGGATTGTGGTTCAAGGCCTGCCTAGAAAGAAAAGTCTATGAGACTCTTATCTGCAACTTACCACCAAAGATCCAGAAGCGGAGCTTTGGCTCAAGTGGTATAGAATACCACCCTTGCACGAAAAGCTCAGGCCCTGAGTTCAAGTCCCAGTAAAAGAAGAAGAAGAAATTAATATTTTCCTTCCTTCAGCATTGTTAGCACCTTAATGGGAGGGGAAGTTGGCTCTCCTGCGCGGCTCTGTCCAGGAAGGAGCTAAGTGAGCTGGTGGAAGGCCATGTCTCCCCTTCAATGAGCCCCATGATGGGGTTCAGAGGATCATGACCTTTGGTTCCGGGAGGGCGCTCCTGCTGTCCCTGCTCCGGGGTTGACTTTTCTGGTGCAAACTTTTCCAGCAAATACAAGACATGGAGAAGGAAATAAGGAGGCTGAGAGAGGAGCTGAAGAAGAGCAGTTATGAACAGAACACAATCTCCAGGACCCTCCGTGAAAAGAGCAAGGTAGGCGGGGCCGGCCAGGCCCGGCATCCCCTCTCTCCTCACAGCGCCCCCTGTGGTGGACACTGGTATCGCCCCTCTCATAGATGAGAAAACAGCTTCTGGAGCTGGTAAAGAAGTTACCCCAGGCCACGCGGATGGGGGATAGGGAGATAGAGCTCCAGTGGCCAGACTTGAAGCGTTGATTCCAGTTGATTCCAATTGCTGTGCTGGCCAGCCCAATGGGCACCAGCCACACAGGGCACCTGCCACGTTAACTAAATGAAACCAGTAGTGCCACAGTACACATGCTCCATAGCCACCTGTGCCTGGCGGCCGCCACACTGGACAGCACAGGGACACAGAAAGTCCTGTCACTTCTTTGCCAATGTAACCAACTGAGGAGTACTGATGGGCTGGATGTGTTTTTAAAATCTTTTTTTCTTTTGTCAGTCCTGGGGCTTGAACTCAGGGCCTAGATGCTATCCCTGAGCCTCTCCTTGCTCAAGGCCAGTGCTCTACCACTTGAGCCACAGTGCCACTTCTGACTTTTTCTGAGTTGTTTATTGGAGATAAGAATCCTCACAGACTTTCCTGCCCGGGCTGGCTTCCAACTGTGATCCTCTGATCTCAGCCTCCTAAGTAGCTAGGTTACAGGCGTGAGTCACCAATACTTGGCTTATTCTTTTAAGTTCTAAACTGAAAGGCACACAGGGTCCTGAGCAGGTCAGACACAACTATAATCCCTCCATTTGAATCATTGGCTTTATTTGATGACAAGATTGCTGTCACTGAAATAAGAACAAATCCCATGATAGAGGGAGACTTGTTCAAGAATGAACTACACCACCACCACCCCGCAAATGCCTAGTATTTTTCTCCAGTTCTTACTTAGTGTAACTGTCAGAATATTACTTTAAGCTAAAACCAGTAACACTTTATAAACTAAAGCCAGGTTGCAGTGGCTCTGCCTGTAATCCTAGCTATTTGAAATTAGGGTTTCAAGCCAGCCCAGGCAAAAACTAGTGAGACCTCATCTCAATAAATAAACCACGCATGGTGGCACATATCTGTAATCCCAGTTACATAGGAGTTATAAGTAGAAGAATCATAGTCCAAGGTCAGTTCCAGAGATCTGAGTTTAAACCAGTCAGTACTGAAGAAAAATTTTAAAAAAAACTTTACAAGCTAAAATACATATTAGACAAGACCTGTCTGACAAATTGCATCTTGTCAATAATTATTTAAACCTACAGAAGTTGAACAGACTTAAGTAGGGTTAGCAAAATAAAACCAACCAAAAGAGCAGATTGAGTTTAAAAACTAATATTTATTGACTAAAAATTGAGAGAAGAGTCAAATATCAAAAAAAAAGTTTAAATATGATTATTGTAGAAGATGGCCTTGACAGACATGAAGGCAAAAAGTCCACAATGGCGGACCTAAGTCTGGTGAAAATCTGATAGGAATCAGAAAAATTAACAGATGACTCAATGAATATTTGCAAAATTTACCAAGAAAGGAAATGATCCCAGGCTGACAGAGACTCGTAGTAGAATACCCACCTCATAGGCTGAATCCCCAAGTTCAAACCCCAGCTCCTCAAGAAAAAAAGAACTGACCCAAGTTTTAAAAAAAAAAAAAAACCTTTCAAGAGAACAAAATTGGAAACGGGAGCATCTGAAACCTATTCAACCCCTGGCTTCATCAACTTCACCCAGCCAAGTACTTACATTCTCAATGACTTGCTTTCTCCTTTTGGGTGTGTGTGTGTGTGTGTGTTTAACATGGAATAGCTTCCTGGCTATTACTTTTCCTCTAAACACGGCTTTAACTGCCTTCTATAAAGTATTAGGATGGAGTGTTTTCATCATTACTCAGATAGCTGTATTTTTCAGGTACCAGTGTTTGTTTTTTTCTCTTTGGCTCATGGTTTGTTTTGAAAATTATTTACTCATTTCTAAATGTATGAAGACTTTCTGATTAACCTTTGGTTATTGATTTATAGCTTTTCACACCGAGGCCAGAGAACAGCTTCTGTGTGGTTTCAGTCCTTTGATGTTGAGACTTGCTAATGGCCTGCATGAGGTCACATATGTCCTTGAAAGACTATTCATCTGATAGTCTCAGAGGTAGTGTTCTACACAGGGCCCTTGAGGTCAAGTTTCCCAGGAATGTTCAAATCATGGGTTCCTTTATTTATTTTCTTGTCTACATGTTCTGTCAGTCATTGAGAGTGATGTGTTTCTTTAAAAATAAAACATATCATCTTGACTGTGGAATTTATGTTTTATTTTTTATATTGCCAATTTTTGCTTTGTGTGTTTTGAGGCTACGTTACTAGGTGCATGGAAATTGACCATTGTAATACTCAAAACTTAAGCAAACTTCTGACCACCACCAGATGGTCATCTTATAGTGTTCTTCCATCAAAAATCCACTGGGTCATTGATCGAGCTTGTTCATCAGCTATGCTAACTTTCTTTTGATTACTTTCACAACTTTTCCTGTCAATCCTGCTTTAGGGGAAGATAGAGCATATAAAATCCAGTTTGCTGATCTTTGTCTTTTAGTCTCCTAGTGGATAATGTAATTGCTATTATGTTTGGGCTTAAATTGATCTTTTTCCTTAGTGCCAGCTATTCCTCCTCCTCTCCATTCTTGCCTTCCTTTGAGCTGATAAGTTTTTACTGTTTCATTTTTTCCTATATTAACTTGGAGATTTTTCACTCTTTTACTATTTATGAACAATGAAAAATAGTATTCATTCAACTATCAAAATCCAATACTTAACCTGGTACCATTGGCTTCCAACTGTCAGCCTAGCTACTTAGGAGGCTGAAATCTGGAGGATGACAGTTTGAGGCAGCACAGAGACAGAGAAGTTCTCAAGACCCCTTCTCGGCTGATATTTGAGCAGAGTGGATCACACTTGTCCTCCTGAGCTGTGTGGAAGGATGAGATTGGGAGGATCATGGTTTTGAACCAGTCCAGGTAGAAAAATTCCTTGAGACTCCATCTTAACAGCAAGATACTAGACATGGTTTCAAGCCTAAAATAGGTGGATCAGAGTCCAGGTGCATACACAGTGGAAAGCCAGACCCTATATCAGAAATAACCAGTACAAAAAAGGCTGCAGGCATAGCTCAGTGGTAGAGCACCTCCTTAGCAGTACTACCACGAAAGAATATATTAAGGTTTTTTCTCTTACTATTCTCTCAGTGGTGGTTCTAAAGAGTGTGGTATGCATTTTGACTTACCAAAGCAGTGTTCACTAAGATTTCATCCTCCTCTATGATGCCTCAGTGACCTGGAGACTACACCTGCCCCCTACCCATCCACACAGACTCAGAATCCTCCATACCTCTCTCTGTATTGAAGCCACAGGTTGGGAGGACCAGTGTCTTCATATAGCCCAGGTTCTATCCACACATTAGATGAATGAGCTCTCCATCTGTCATTATCCACCGGGGATCATTTTCTTCTGCCTAGAGAAAATCCTTCAGGGGTTTCCTTTAGTGTGGCTTTGCTGATGGTGAATTTGTGTGTGTGTGTGTGTGTGTGTGTGTGTGTGTGAAAGAGAGAGAATAAAAATGAATGTGAAGGTCCATTGTTGTTGTTGTTGGCCAGGGGGCTTGGACTCAGGGCCTAGGCATTGTCCTTGAGCTCTTTTGCTCAAGGATAGTGCTCTACCACTTTAAGCCACAGCTCCACTTCTGGTTTACTAGTGCTTAATTGGTGATAGAGTCTTATGCACTTTCCTGCCCAGGCTGGCTTCGAATTGCAATCTTCAGATCTCAGCCTCCTGAGTAGCTGGGATTACAGGTGTGAGCCACTAGTGCCCAGCATGAAGGCCTGTTTTAACCTCCATTCTTGGAGGTTTTAGCTAATCACTGAATTTTAATTGGCAAGTACATCCTTTTTTCATTACATCATTGTCTCCCAGCCTCCATGGCTTCCACTAAGAAGTTAGCTGTCAGCCTCATTCCTCCACTTTCTTACAAATGTCTTTTTTCAGGCTGCTTTTAAGATTTGCTCTTTCTTTGACTTCAGGCAGTCTTATGGTGATTTTTATGTATGTGGATTCATTTTCATCTTACTTAGAATTCATATGGGCTTCATGAATCTTTGATGTCCTCCATGTGTGGAAGAGCTGTGTTCCAGGGAGGCAGCAAGAGGTGCTGAGGCCTTAGTTCACATCAGTGATAGGACTGGGGTTGTTATTTATTAGAGAGCCAAACGTTATCTCAGCAATCTGTTTCACAGCCAAGGGCGTGGTGAGGTGAGGGCTCAGAGCCAGATGGCCAGGACTAGAAGCCAAGTCTCTCTGACTTGCCCCTGTGGCACACCTGGTAGCCCCATGTAAATGCTAACGTTGAATTTAAGTACAGTTTAAATTTTAGTTCCTCTACAGTTTTATCTTTTTAACTTAATTTTATATCTGGAAGTATGGCTCAAGTGGTAGACATCTACCTAGTAAGCAAGAAGGCCTTGAGTTTAAAGCCCAGTGCTGCCACAATGTAGGCAGGATACTGAGATTATTTAAAACTAAATAAATGATAAAATGTAAAATATCTGAAAAGACTTACTTCAAATAAAATGTAAAATTGTAATGCCTTCACTAAGCGAGAAGCTTTGTTTAGACCCCTGGACTTCCTAGCCACATTGGTCAGACACAGACAGTGCTCATCTGAGGAGACCTCACCACCAATGGTGTTGCTGGCAGCTTGGTGACTCTCACAGTATCATGAAGAACATTCTAGAAGGGGATAAACCGGCAGCAGGGGGCCCTATATCACGGTCCAGAGGGTAAACAGGGTAGGAACTCACAAATCTCTGAGGACTGAGCGCACTGATAAGGGCCACTTGGAGCCCGGTTGAGAGGAAGAGGATGGATGGGCACGGTGAGGCCGGGCAGCAGAGCGGAAGCAGGGAAGCTGCTGACGGCAGTTCTGGCGCTTGGCATTGGGATTCGGGGAGACCCCTTTTCAGATGAGGAGCACAGGGAAGCCAAAGGCAGAGGATGGGCTCTGTTTGCACAGCTCTGTAAACACATGGGGCAGTAGGAGCCAGGGTGAGCCTGGACTTGGGGCTGTATCTCAGAGAGCTGAGTGGCCCTGCAGGGGGCGCCGCTCTCCAGGCACCGGGTCCTGATCTGTGCAGAGGAAAGCTCTAAAGGGCTTGTCTGGGTGTTTTGTTACCTCGGTGGGGCCCCTCTGCGGCCTCATAATCTTTTCACTGAGGTGAACTTCCCTCAATTCCAGGGGAGCCCTAGTTCCCCAGGTGCTTAAGTAATTTTCATTCAAACGTAAACAGAAGCTGGGTACCCGTGTCTCACGCCTGTAATCCTAGCTACTCAGGAAGCTGAGATCTGAGGATTCAAAGTGGGCCCGGGCAGGAAAGTCTCCATGAAACCTTTATCTCTGATTAACCACTCAAAAACTGGAAGTGGATCTATGGCTCAATTGGTAGAGCCTTGAGCACAAAGAGACTCAGGATCAGCACCCAGGCCCTAAGTTCAAGCCCCACAACCAACTACAACAACAAAAAAGTAAACAGAAGCTGGGTGCTAGTGGCTCATACCTATAATCCTAGCTACGCAGGAGACAATCTGAGGATTGCTGTGCAAGGTCAGCCCAGGCAGGAAAATCTGTGAGACTCTTATATCCAGTGACCCAGCAAAAAGCCAGAAGTGGATGAATAGCTCAAGTGGTAGAGTACCAGCCTTGTGTGTGCATGGGGGCGGGGGAGGGGGACAGCAAGATAAGCAATAGCTTAACGCCCTGATTTTAATGCCCTGAATTCAAGCCTCATTACTGGCTCCAAATTTTTAAGTGAATGGAGAGGCTGCAGTGTCTCACCATGGCCAGCAGAGGGTAGCATTGAACACTCTTAGCTTTACAGAGTTGTCCTGCTGCTGCCCAAGCAAGTAGATTAAGCAGCCAGTCCTTCCAGCCCCATAACATTGCTTCCCCCACCCCCACCCCCCACTGCAGCTGCTTTTTCCCCATTTACACACCTTGCAATTTGCAGTTATTTACTAGCCATTGCTTAGCAGGTGTCCTAGAGCAGTTTCCAACTGTGAGTGCACTACACATGGTGACAACAAATAGAATAGTGTCCCCAATAGTGCCACTTACCGAGTTCCCACACACACACCCCCATGTGCAGGTCCCACCTCCCCTACCTGGAGACACTCCCACCTACCTTTTAGAGGTGACAGCCAGCCCCAGCCACCAGACACCCTTCACCCCTATGACTCTGCCAGTGCTTGCATCCCATCAGGCAAGGCCCCATGAAGAGACTTTCCTGAAGTCACAGTGCTCATGAGGGGCTGTGCCAGGGTACTGAGATTAGTTAAAACTAAATAACTGATTGGTTGGCAGGGTGCTCCAACCATAGCCAGCCCTAGCCACAGGGCCTGGCCCCGGCCACGGAGCCTTGTGAACTGTATATTCATCTTGTGGCTCCTGCCACATGGGCTGCAACTGCCCATACCCCTGGGGGATCCCCCCCCAAACACACACAGCCATTATACCTCCTCAGAGCTGTCCCTAGAATGCACTCGGACCACCATAGCAGCCCGCGAATGCTTTCATCGTCATTGCAGGTGGAAGAGAAACTTCAGGAAGATTCCAGAAAGAAATTGCTTCAACTGCAAGAAATGGGGAACCGAGAGGGCCTCATTAAAACCAATTTGGAAAGGGCAGTAGGTCAGGTAGGCACGTCCCATGTCCCCCAGGGTTTCCTGCCGCCAGCTGGCCGGTGGGGCCCAAGAGGAAGAGGAGCCTGCTTAGCCTGGTCCATGCTTTCCTCCACCAGGAAGCCCACCTCCAACCTGAGCCTTCCATATGAGACTCTGCCAGGACAGCCAGGAGAGGTGGCAGAGCTTCTGGGGATGGGTGGAGCAGATGGGAGACGAGTTCAGGGAGCATCACTCCTCAGGACAACAAGTGTGTGTGTGTGTGTGTGAGAGAGAGAGAGAGAGACAGACAGACAGACAGACAGGCAGACAGATAGACAGACAGACAGACAGAGACAGAGAGAGTATGTGCATGAGAGCTTCTGTTTCTGAGGGAAGAGTTCACCATGCCACTCATCAGATTCTCAAAAAGAGTCATCAGAACCACAGTTGAGGGCTGGAGGTATAGCTCAAGTGGTAGAGCACCCGCCACACAAATGCAAAGGCCCTGAGTTCAAATCCCAGTATTCATTTAAAAAAAAGAAGAAGCAACGTTCTTCAAGGACCCTTCCACACCATCCTGTCCTCATTTGCTGCTGTCCAAGCAATAGCAAGGCCTTGTCCCTGCTCAGATTCCCAGGGGCCCACACAAATTAAACAATCATGTGCTGTCTCTTGAACAGGTGTTAGAGCCTACTGCCACCCCTCCCCTGCACCTCCTGCAGCACCCAGCCCTGCAGGACAGAGAGCCTAGCTGACTCCGCTGGGCCCTATGGCCAGAGGGCAGCTTGGAGGCCTCATGTCTCCAGGCCTGCTGGCTCTCTGACATCAGTGGTGCCTTTGGCTTCCTAGAACCCCCGTGTGCTGTGAACTCCTGGGTCCTGGGACCCCTTGTCTTTCACAGGGACTCAGTAGCCCTTTGGGTGCCTCTGGGCTCTGTATCTTTAAGGAATACATTTTTCCAATAGACCACAAATGCAGGCCAGAGGCAGCTGTGTGGGAAAACCCCAGAGACAGACTGGCTTCTTTTCCAGGACCTTCTGATGGAGCCTGCCCCCACCCCCACCCCACCGCTCACCCCAGGACTTGTGATTGTATCAACCTTCCCTGGGGTTCCAACCACACACAGGGGCATGGGGCGCTGCTGCGGGAACTGAAGCCCAGACCCTCGGCCTCAGCACCCAATTCTGCGTGCTGACTGCAGCCCAGGCACTGCGCTGGGCTCTCAGGGCCACTGAGGGTGGAAGGCGGGGACAGCCTGAGGACACACACCTCTCCCATGGCTGATGACAGCTGCCGTAGGCACTTCACAGTCCGGTGCCAACCTACCAATCAAAGAGTCGCACTCAGGGCCAGACTTCCCATTGGAAAATGGGCAGTAGCGAGGCCACGGAAAGCCCGCGGGCCATGCGCCTGGACGGGCTCCCACGAGCCTGCCTGAGGCACACAAAGCTGACTGCTTTCTTTCCTTCCATGGCAGGGCACTTTCTCTGCACTTCGCATAACACTGGGTGGCCATCCATGTGTGCAGACCCTTCTGAGGGGCTTTCCTGCATCCCAGGGTGCACATGGCACCCCCAGCCTTGCCTCTGCCCCCCCAACCCCCAACCTGCGGCTCTCCCTTTGTGCCACAGCTGGAGCACTTCCGAACCCAGGTCATCAAAGCCATCTTCGGGCGCACGAAGCCGTTCCAGGACAAGCCCATCACCGACCAGCAGGTTAGCGAGACTCCCCCCTGCCTCCGGTGCCTTCCCCAGATCTGCGTGCCAGACCCCGGACCATATGCTTCTGTTTGTGCTGCTTGCTCATATTTTCTCACACTGTTGCCACACCATCAAGACTTGTTTTGATTTGACGGGATTTCCTGGCTTTTGAAGCAAAAAGCCAATTAAACTGGCGTGGAGCGTTGTGCAAATCTATTTTGGCCATCAGGTTCCATTGCTGGTCACCACACATGCTGGTTACATGCATGCACATGCTGAAGTTCCACTGTTGTGAGCTAAGGGATCACCTCATCTTAGTCTGTGGGTTCTTTCCACAGAGGAAGGGGAAAATGCCAGGCACTGGTGGCTTACACCTATAATCCTAGCTACTCAGGAGGCTGAGATCTGAGGATCACAATTCAAAGCCAGCCTGGCCAGGAAAGTCCATGAGACTGTTATCTCCACTTAACCAGCAGAAAACCAGAAGTGGAGCTATGGTTCAAGTGCACAGCACCAACCTTGAGTATAAAAGCTCAAGGACATCACTGAGTTCAAGTGCCAGTATCAACACAAAACAGACAAAGTAAAACACACACACACACACACACACACACACACACGGATGCTCTTGCCTGGGACAGGAGAACTTGACCTGCTTAGGCACCCAGAGCATTGGGGGCTGTGTGTCATGAGTCTCCTCTATGAATACAGAAAGATCTAGAACAAACTCAGAGCAACAATAGAGGCCTTTGACACCTACGAATAACCTCTAATCCTGGACCACATTGTGTTCTGGTGACAGAAACAAGCTTCTCTTTTATGCTGGGACTTTCCTCACGCTGTGCTGAGCTGGGAGCATGCATGTCAGCCCTCTGATCCTTGTGTCCCAGAGCACTGTGCTGTGAGCACCTCTCTCCCCTCCCTTTCTTCTCCCCAGCTGATGGAGAAGATCATGCAGATCACCGAAGACAGCCTCAGCTTCCAACAGAGAAAGTGGAGCCTGCAGGAGACACCACTCAGCAGCTTCAAGCAGGAGGAGATGGTGGAGGGCATTGAGAAGCTGAGGACACAGCTGGACAGCTGCCAGGTGCCCCTTCACTCAAGTCTGTGCCCATGATACGCGTGTGTGCACGGGAGGGCGCTGCAGCGACTCGGGCGGGCTGGGCACAAACATTTCTACAGAGAGGGGCCTGAGAATGCCTATAGGTAAAGTTAAAGTGACCAAGGAAAAATGCCTGAGCATTCCCATCCAGGGCGTCAGCCAACAGCACATCAAAAATATTAAGGAAAAAAATGTATCCAAACCAGGCATCCGTGGCTCATACCTGTAATCCTAGCTACTCAGGAGGCTGAGATCTGGAGGAGGGGTAGTTTGAAGCCAGACCAGGCAGAAGAAAAATCTGTGAAATTCCATCTCCAAGTAACCAGCAAAAATCAAGGCTGGAGGTATGGCTCAAGTAGTAGAGCACCAGCCATGAGGACATAAGCCAAGAGAGAGAACAAGGCCCTGAGTTTGAGCCCCAGGACTCTAACATACAAAAATAATAATAATTCATCCTTAATGAAGAATATCAACATATACCAACTTTTTTCTTTATTTTTTCTATTCATTCATTCATTCATTCATTTTATGCTGTGCTAGGAATAGAACCTAGGGCCTTTCATGTCGCTCTTGACCATTATTCCCCACACGATGCAGTATAACAACTATTAACATATCCTTTGCATTGAGTTAGGCATTATAAATCATCTAGAGATAACTCAGAGTATACAAGAGGATGGTTTGAGGGAGGTTGGCAATCCTGGGGATTGAACTCGAGACCTTGAGCTTGCTAGGCAGGTGTTCCACCACTTGAGCCACGCCCCAGCCCTGCAGGAAGACATCATATGCAAATAATAATGACTGATAGAATGATCTATGCAAAGACTACATCATTTCATATAAAGGAAATGAAGACCCTAAGATTTGGCATGTTTCAGGGGAGGGCTACTGACTTTGGGAACTCCCCCCCCCCGTTTTTTTTTTTTTTAATTTAAAAATATACCTGTCATGTGCTTTCCAGAAAAGCTGAAGAATTGTTCCTGCTTGCCATCTGCGTTTCTTTTTTTGGCCCAGCCACGAGCGCTGTTTCCTCCTCCTTTGCCCCTTGAGCAAGGAGGAACTGACACCCCGGATGTGTGCGGGGTCACACACACACACACACACACACACACACCCCGAGCTGTCGGGGCAGGCAGCTGCTTCTGCTTTCCCGTGAGATCAGCAGTGGCTATTTGGGAGCTAGTGCAGATGCTGGCTTGTCAGAGCTCTTTCAAAACACCAGAAACTCATATTTGGTGGCTAGCTTGCACACCGGTCTCTGCAAATTGTGACAGCTAGAAATAGCCAGATTTGCTTCTCATTTCAGCCAAATTGTCACTGGTGATTTGATTTAAGGATTGCACAGCCTAAGAGGGAGTTCTCTCCACTCATCCAAAGTCCAATTGGCATGTGAGAAAAAAAAAAGCCACCCCCCAAAAGAAAAACAAACCAAAACCACTCAAAACTGAGCCATCTCAGGGCCCACCGGCCTGAGTTCTGCCTGCCCAGGGGTGGGTCTGTAACTCTGCTTCCTGCAGGCCTCTGTGGTGCCACTCCTGCCGTGGGGTGTAGGTTCTTCATGTCCTTGTCCATTTTCAGGCTTGCATGAAAAGGTCTTGCCGTAGCAGTGACCTGAGACGGGAGCTGGACCTCCTCCGGCGCCTGGACATGAGGCCACCTGTGTCCGGGCTTCACAAAATCAGCCTGGATGTGTTGAGCCTCTCCGTATCCTGGGTGGAGGAAGTGGAGAAGCTCCTCAGTGATATGGGCATCCAGCTCTCTGACAATGACAAAGGTGATTGGGGCTTTTCCTCTCCTAGACATGGGACTGACTCTAAGATGTCACCATGAGTCTTCCCCAGATGGCTCGTCTGTTTAGAAGCCTTTGTGGGTATGTGGCTGAGTGTTCCCTTCTTCGGTCCAGACTCATTTGGGTTGGAAAGTGACTTTCCTTTTTTAAAAAAACAATAAAAACACCACCACATAGTCCAGGTGTGATGGTGCACACCTGTAATCCCAGCTATTCTGGAGGTGGAGGTAGGAGGATCAAAATCTAAGACCTGATCTAAGAAACAAACTATGGGAGAAAAAAAAGCAAGAGAACTAGGGGTGTGACCCAAGTTGTAGACTCTAGAAAGCATGAAGACCTGAGGTTCAGTACCTAGTACCAAAAACAAAAGGTGGGTCATCATTATAAAGAAAGTAAAAGGATAACAGACGCAACAAAAAAATTACATCAGAATTAGGCTAGCTCCTGTCTAGCTTAGCAATAACTGCTGTGACATTGGGAAATGTGGCATTTTTCTGTGGAAAGAGCTGTGTGATTCTAGCCTTGCTGTTTACCCTCTCTCTGTGCACCTCAATTTCCTCACCTACAAAGTAGAACTTGTGAGGAGTCACCATCACCTTTTAAGATCATAGAGAGATTTAAAATGTATTGATGGCTGGGTGCTGGTGGCTCATACCTGTAATCCAAGCTACTCAGGAAGCTGAGATCTGAGATCACGTTTCAAAGCCAGCCCTGACAGAAAAGTCCACAAGACTCTTTATCTCCAATTAACCACCAAAAAGCCAAAAGTGGAACTGTGGCTCAAGGGATAGTGTGTTAGCCTTGAGGAAAAAAAAAATCTCAGGCTGGTAAAGTCAGCAGCAAGAAAGCCCTGAAAGAGCTCAAGAAAGGACCCTGTGGGGCAGGGGTGCATTCATCTTGACACATGTGGAAAGGACACTGCAAGGTGTCCAGACTCAAGCACAGGGAATCCAGGCAGGAGGCTGGCATTAGGAGTGATGGTAGCTGCCGTGGGGATGGAGTGAGAGGAAGTTCTGGGGCTACTAAGCGAAATTAACAGTTCTCTGCCGTGGAATGGGTCATGGTGACCAGGGAAGCTGCAGAGGAAAAGTGGCTCACATAGCTTCTAAGTGTCTGGCACGTGTAAAACAACAGATGTGATGCCTTCACTGAAGCCCAGAGTCAGGCCCAGGTGTAAGGGCCTGGAAGACATCCAAGATGAGGGGCCTGGGGGCTGCTGCACCTGGGTGCTTTGTCTAGAAATGGATGATAGCAATGTGTCTAGTGCCAGGGAAGTACCCAGCTGCCTCACTGATGTTTATATGATGGATGGACAGACGGATGGTGGATGGATGGATGGATGGATGGTGGTTAGATGGATGGGTGGATGGATAGATAGATGAATGGGTAGATGGATAAATGGGTGGACAGATGGATGGTGGGTGGGTAGATGGATGGATAGGAGGTAGACAGGTGAATGGATGGATGAAAGGTGAGTGGTAGATAGGTGGGTGTATGGATAGATGGGGGTGGGTGGATAGGTGGACACAGATAGATGGATGTGTGGATGGTAGGTGGGTGGATGGATGGATGGTGGGTTGGTGAATGGATAGACAGATGGAAGGATGGGTAGAAAGATGGATGAATGGTGGGTGGACGGGTGGATGGATGGGTAGGTAGGTGGATGGATGGTGGATGAGTGGATGGGTGGGCAGGTGAAAGGATGGGTAGATGAGTGGATGGATAGATGGGTGGGTGGATGGTGGTTGGGTGAATGGATGGCTGGATGAATGAATGGATGGTAGTTGGGTGGATGGATGAATAAAACCACAGATGTGCATAATACCACTGAGAAAGAATTTTAACACCTGAGGAAATCCAACATTCTGAGACTGCTGCCTTCCCGTGGGAAGTGTCCTCTAGGGCAGCTGGGTGCCTGTGATGCTGGCTGCAGCAGTGAGACCAGAGGGTGGTGTTTACACTCTGCTCAGCCTCCCAGCCAGGGTATTTCCAGAGCAGTCCAGCAGGTGGTACAGAGTTCTTCAAAATTACACAGGAGTGAAAAGCAGCCGAATTGTTGGTAAATGCTAGGCTTCTTTATGGCAAGGAGAGGCCAGTGAGGGCCAGGGCAGAGGGAGGAGGGGCGGGAAGTCCCACCAGTGCTCCCGGTCACTGCTGCTGTCATCGTGGCAGATGCCAGCTGAAGCATGGACCAACTTGTCATCATTCGCAGATTGCAACTCTCACAGCGCAGCCCCTCATCCATCCTGGCAACAGATGTTCCACCCTCTGGACCATTGACACCCATGTCTGTAGTCTCCCTGTACATTACTGTGAAGAAACATGTCTGTAAAGTTAAGCTGTCAGACCAGCAACAGCAGAAACCCTGAGAAAGACTGTGTGCAGACTTGCCAGTCTTCTTCCCTGACTTCAGAGTCACAGGATCTGAGCAACACCAAACCAGTCTCTGCGTGTTCCCAAAGTTCAGCTGTCCTTGCTTCCTGCACCCCCAACTAGTGCCTCTTGGAACGTTCTGTGGAACACTGCCGGTGGAGCAGTTGTCTGGTGGCTTCTGTGATTATAATTCCTGGCTCCCAAGATGCAGGGAGAAAAAGAACAGCAAATCAGAAAGGTTTGTACGTAGAGCCCGCCCTTCATCCACACCACAGAAGAGGACATGCACCTCACCCAGTTCAAGATTCAAGGAAATGGATATGCTAGATCTTCTCTATATTCTTTACTACTGGCCACCACAGGGCCATCGGTACCAGGAGGAGGAGAAGGAAGAGAGAGTGATGGTGGTGTTGGTAAAAGTGGTGGTGATGGTGGTGATGATGGTGAAGGTAATAATGGTGATGGTGGTGATGATGGTGGTGGTGATGGTGGTAGTGGTAGTCATGGTGATGGTGGTGGTGATGATGGTAGAGATGATGATTTTGTTGATGATGGTGGTAATGGTGGTGGTGATGATGATGGTAATGATGATGATGGTGATGGTGCTGGTGGTGGTGATGGTGGTGATGATGGTGATGGTGGTGGTGATGGTGGTGGTGGTAGTCATGGTGATGGTGGTGGTGATGATGGTAGAGATGATGATTTTGTTGTTGATGGTGGTAATGGTGGTGGTGATGATGATGGTGATGGTGGTGGTGGTGGTAGTCATGGTGATGGTGTGGTGATAATGACGATGATGGTAGTGGTGGTCGTTGTGGTGATGGTGATGATGGTGGTAGTGCTGATGGTGGTGGTGGTGGTGGTGGTGATGGTGATGGTGGTGGTGATTATGGTGACGGTGGTGGTGATGGTGGTGGTAGTCGTGATGGTGGTGGTGGTGATGGTAGAGATGATGATTTGTTGTTGGTGGTGATGGTGGTGGTGATGATGATGGTAATGATGATGGTGATGGTGGTGGTAATGGTGATGATGATGGTTATGGTGGTGGTGGTGGTGGTGGTGGTAATGATGATGATGGTGATGGTGGTGGTAGTCGTGGTGATGGTGATGATGGTGGTGGTGGTGCTGATGATGGTGATGGTGGTGGTGGTGGTGGTGGTGGTGACGGTGATGAGGACAGTGGAGGTAAATGCAGGCATTCTTCACTACTGAGCACACAGATTCAGTAAGCCATACTCAGCGTGCCTCATGCTTGGTGCCAGTTCTTCCTCACATCTGCTCTGTAAGCAGGACTTGTTCTCTCCTCAGGGCACAAAAGAGGAGATGGTAGGAGATCTGGTATACCTCATATTACCACTCCTCACCACCTATGAACCCCGAGCACCTCCGTGTCCACCACTACCAAGGGACTGTCATATAGAGATTCCTCGGTACTTGGCTCTGTGTTAGGTGCTTCATTCCTAAGTACTTAGCTCTATGCTTTATTCCTGGGTACTAAGCGCTGTGGTTGTGTCCTTGGGGCCTTCACTCTGTGTCAGGTGCTTTATTCCCAAGTGCTTAGCTGCTCGGTGCCAGGTGTTTCATGAGTTGTGTGCCTCTGTCCCTGGTGCTCAATGAGGCAGGTGCTTCCGCTATCTTCATTTTAAGGAAGGGATGCAGGACTCGGCGTTAAGTACTCTGAGCTGGCAGGGTCAGGACAAGGGCTGAGATCTCTGATCCCCACATAATCCCGTCGGGACACAAGAGGGTGCCTGGCCCACGCCCGTCTCTCACAACACAGGTCCTGTCTGTGTTGGGCAAGAAGAGAGCCGAGGTGGTGGTGTTCCTGGGCTTGAGCTACCTGTCTGTCCCTGCGTGTCTGTGACAGAACACCCTCAACTGGGCGAAGAAAGCCTTGTCTCTCGCAGTTCTAGAAGCTCCGGCCCCGAGGCGCTGGCCTGGCAGGTGGCAAGGCCCAATCCCATGTCTCAGGGGAGGGGTGACCCCATGAGAGACACAGTGTGGGTCTCTTCCTCCTGCATGCCCACTACAGCCCTCATGGGACCCCCACCCTTGTGGCTCCATCCACCCCAAATCTCCTCCCTTCCACTGTGGACCACGGCGTGATGAAGTTTCCAGCCAAGCCTGGTGGAGACATTGAGACACCAGACCCATTGGGTTCTCCCGTGATGTTTCTGAGTTCAAGCTCTGAGACCCACCCACCGACCAGTGAATGAACTTCAGTGCTGTGACTCCTGCTGGCAGGCGAAGCCCCTTGGCTTCTCTGTGGCTCAGCTAGCCCGTGTGTAAAGTGGGCGTGCACTCCCGGCGATCCTCATTCTGGCATGGCCAGCCTTCCTGTGGTCAGCAGCCTCCAGTGGGTACCGGTCTCACTTGGTCTCCCCAGTGAAGGCCGGCAGACGGCAGTGTACTCCACAGCACAGCCCGACCTCAAACCCAGAGCCATCGTCAACCCTGCCCAGACCACCTGGCAGCTCCTTCACCCTCCCTCAGTGGGGCAAAAGCTGGACGACCCTTTCTAGACTCATATCCCAGCTCCAGGTGGCCCCTCTGGGACCCAACCCGAGTCCTTCCTCCAGACCATTCCTCTCCCTGCCTCTGAGAAAGAGGACCCTGGACAGGGACACACACATGGCAAGCGAGGCTGCCATCTTGAGACAGGTCCCCAGGGAGCCAGGCCTCCTGGACAGAGCAGAAGTAATCGAAGTGTCCTGGGAGTTGCCCTGGGGCAGGCTGCTCACCGTGGGACAGGCCGAGAGGCTGCTGAAAGCGGCGGGGGGTGGCATGCAGGTCTGTCCTCTGCCCACCCCTTCCTGTCCACCTTTTGATGCTGGCCACAAAAACACTTCTTTCTCTGCACGCTCTGGATGTTCCTGTCTATTCCTGCAAGGTCTTGTGGCGATTAAAAGGCCTCTCTCCACACTCAATGGGTAAACCACCCATTCTCAACTCTCCAAGACACACATATCTTTAAATGTAGAAGAGGAAGAAGAGGAGGAGGAGGAGGAAGAGGAGGAGGAGAAGGAGGAAGAGGAGGAGGAGGAGGAGGAAAGAAGAAGAAGAAGAAGAAAGAAGAGGAAGAAGAAGAGGAGGAAGAGGAGGAGGAGGGAGAGGAGGAGGAGGAGGAAGAAGAAGAGGAAGAAGAAGAGGAAGAAGAAGAAAGTTGCCAGAGGCACCACTGAGCGCTGAGCGGGGCACAGGCAGGCGAGCGGGCTGGCAGTCCCCCTCATCGATGGGCTACAGTGAAGAGCCTGTGCTGTCTCAGCCCCCACAGTCACTCTGCCTGGAGCCCGGGCCCTGCCCAGCCATACACCCCATCCTTCTGGTGGGGCGATGGCAGGACACTGCGGGCATGGCACTCTCCTCGCCCAGCAGAGGGCCAGGCACCTAGGCTGGGATCACTCCTCACCTTCCTGTGGCGTTTAAATCAGATCTCCACACTTCAGGCTACGGCTCCCTGCCTGCCACAACCGACCCTCATCTCACCCCCAAGCACCTCTGCCTTGCTTCTCTCTTCCCTTACCAGCCATCCAAGGAAGCTCTGTGACTCCTACAACATGTGCTGCATCTCCCCCAAAAGCTTGGGGGGACTACAGTCCCCCTAAAAGTTCCTAAGACCTCATCTCAACAAGCAAGCTGGTGATGGAGGTATGTCCCTATATCTCAGCTGTACAGGAGACTGCATTTAGAGACTCATGGTCTGAGACCAGCACAGGCAAGAAGATCCTAGCTGAAAAAAAAATAACTAAAAAAGGGCTGGGAGTATGGCTCAAGTGGTATAGAACCTGCCTAGCAAGTGCAAGGCCCGAGGAGTTCACACCCTAGCACTGCCAAAAAAAAAAAAATTTTAAAAAAAGGAATCCAAAAATTCATACAGAAGTACAAAAGACTGGATAGCCAAAAGAGCAATGCCAGAGGCCCCGCAGCACCTGGTTGATTTCAACTTATACTACAGAGCCATCGTTAAACATTGCATGGTAGTTGAAAGAAAATCTGGACACAGACAGCAAAGGAGGGCACCAATAGAGGACCTAGAAATAAACCCACACGGCTACAACCACCTGATTCTCCACAAAGTCTCCAGAAACACACGTCTGAGAAAAGACAGACTCGTCCAAAAATGGTGCTGGGAACACGGGATGTCCACGTGCGCAAGACTGAGACTATATCTTCTCTCCCACTCGGTACGGCAATGATTCAACATAGAGCAAAGACTTTTAATGCAGGGCCTGACGCTACAAAACTACGCAGAAAACACTGGAGGACACAGGCACAGACAATGCATAGGACTGCAGTAGCTCTGAGAATAAGAGCAAGGACTGACAAAGGTGACTGCGTCAAATTAAAAGTCTTCTGCGGCCAAGGGAAAAAAATGGCCTTAGAAAGAGAAAATTGTTGTCTGATTTTTCTATGACAAGGGACTAATAGCCAGAATATAGATACAAAGGACTCAGAAAATTAAATACCAAAAGAACAAACAATCCAATTAATAAATGGGCAGATGAACTGAACAGTTCTCAAAAGAACAAACGGCCCCTAAAAAAGAAACGTCCTGCATCCAAATCAAAATGAAACTGAGATTCTGTTGTAATTCTGTCAGAACAGCCATCATCCAGAAAACAAACCACGAAGGTTTGTCGGGGGAAGGAAGGAGGTGAAGGAACCCTTATACGCGGCTGGTGGGCTGTCAGTGAATGCAGCCACTATGGAAATAAGTACGGAGGCTCCTCCGTAGGAGCTCCTCCTAGAAGCACCATATAACACAGCTGTAGCCCCAGGCATCTGTGCAAATGAATGTCATTGGCATGGGACAGAGACCTGCATGCCCATGCTTACTGCATTGCTGTTCACAATAGCCAAGCTGTGGAGCCCTCCCAGGTGCCCATCAGGTGATGAGTGAACAAAGAAGAAAGGGCGTGTCTACACAAAACAATGAAGTTTTGTCTAGCCATTAAGAAGAGAGAAACTAGGCAGGCATTGGTGGTTCACACCTAGAGATCCTAACTACTCAGGAGGACTGAGTTTCAAAGCCAGCCTGGGGGGATGGGAGGAAGGTCCAATAGACTCTTAACCTCCAATTCTACAATGGAAAGATCTTAATCTATGGGCTCATACTAGATTCTCCAGAGAGTCCAGGATAAACCTGCATCTCAATCTTTCACCTGCCAAGCATGACGGTTCATACCTATAATCCCTTGAGCTTCTGCTCAAGAAGCAGAAGCAGGAAGATTGCAAGTTTGAGGCCTGCATGGTCTATATCATACCCGGGGGGGGGGGGGGGGGGGGGGCGAGGGAGGAGGTGGGGAATTACTTGCCAGATAGCAATGGCTCACACCTGTAATCCTAGCTAACCAGGAAAGTGTGTGAGACTCTTAGCTCCAGAAGTAGAGCTGCAGCTCAAGTATTAGAGCACTAACCATGAGCAAAAAAGCACAGGGACAGTACCTAGGCCCTGAGTTCAGGCGCCAGGAGCAGTACAGGGAAAAGGAAACAAACAAACAAAAATAACCTAAGCCTCTGAACAAAGACCCTTTTGCTGTGTAAGGTACATTAGTTGGCCCAGGATTTAGGAGTTGGCTTGAGGGAAGGAGCCATCATTCTTCCCCTCCTAATTCACAATTCTGCCTACACAATACCAGTGGACCCTCAGAAAGGTAAGTGTTCTCTTAATGGATTTTCATTTCCCATCTCAAAAAAGACTTTGCTTTGACCCCACCAGAGTTTATTAGCCTACTTAAAAAGTTGGAGACAGCACCAGTGGCTTATGCCCTTCATCTTGGCTACGAGGGAGGCTGAGATTGGGAGAATCCAGATTTGAAGCCAGACACAAAACCTCATGAGATCCTCATTCTCAACCAATAGCTGAGTATAGTGGTGCATGCCTGTCATCCAGGCTACAGTGGGATGCATATCTTTGCCCAGGCATGTCTCTAGTTAGGAAGCAGTACCATATCTCAAAAATAGCCAGCACAGGAAAGGGTTGGAGGCACGGCTCCACGGTAGACAGCCTGCCTAACAAGTGTGAGGCTCTGAATCCAAACCCCAGTCCTGCCCCAAAATGCTAAGTAAATTAACAAAGTTGCACAGCAGCTCCTGCTGTCCCCATGGGAGGGCTGTGGGGCCTGCATCCACCTGTCTGAAGACTATGTTAAGCCATTACACAAAGCTGAGTATGGTGGCGCATACCTGTAATCCCAGCACTCAGGAAGGCTGAGACAGTGTGGCCATAGCTCAGAAGAAAACAGGAAACAAGCACTATGCAAAGCCCCAAGGAGGTGGATTCCTTCTTACCTTTTCCCCACTTCTCTCTTTTTAAGGGTTCTCCTTGTATCTGGTTTATCTTCTGGAGCATTATAAAAAAATTAAAAGCCAGACTAAGGAACTTCAGGTAATTCTTTTAAATTCTTTTTTTTCTTCCAAGTTCATGTCAGCTTTCCCCGGGGCATTTGTGTACCACTGTGTGTTTGAAATCTGTGCTTGCTCTGCAACCAAGGCACACCGCATCTTCCAACAGGTGACTCCACTTCCCCATGTGCACACAAAGGGATCCAAACAGGAAGGCAGAGACCCCACAGGGCACTGCCCCTGTCTGGCCAAAATGCCAAAAAGGACCAGGCACCGGTGGCTCACACCTCTAATCCTAGCTGCTCAGGAGGCTGAGATCTGAGGACTGTGATTCAGAGCCAGCCCCGATCAACAAATCTGAGATTCTTATGGCCAACGAACGGCCACAAAGTGGAAAGTAGAGTTCTAGCCTTGAGTGAAAAAGCCACACAGAGATTGAATACCATCGGATTTTTAAGGTGCAGCAGAAGAGTCAGCTGCATGGTGAGGGCAGCAGGTTAGAGGAATGACTGGGTCTAGAGAAGGGGATTAAGGATTGGATCGTTGAAAGCCTCAATGGTACTCAACGTCAGTCTCCTGTGCACATACCCAGGGTCGGCACCTGGCTCTGCCGAGCTTGGCTGGCCTCAGTGGAGGGATTCTGGTCTACTCCACAAGGCCTCCTTCCTCTAGCAAGCCAGCCTGGTGTGTTCCCCGAGCCAATCAGGTCGTGCTTTTCAAATCCTCTGTTATCATCCCATTGGCCCAACAAGTCACGTGGCTAAGTTCAAGGTCAGGGGACAGGGTTACGCAGGCAAAGCCAGATAGAGAGGGAGGCTGGAGGGTCAGGGCTGCCATTCCAATCACCTGCAGCGACCTGAGGCCAGGAGTCAGCAAACTGTCTGCTGAGGGCCAATGAGTCAATATCTTAGCCACCTGTCTACGGTCCCCATCATGCCTGTTCAAGCCCACTATGGCAGTAAGGAAGGCAGCCACAGATAACGGAAATGTGTGTGGCTCCAATACACACAGTGAAATTCTACAAAAACAAAAGCAGGCACTGGACCAGATCTGGCAGCCCCTGGCCCAGCCCATCCTCCTCCTTCCACGGAGATGGACTGCAGCGCCCAGAGAGGTGGTGACCTTAGGTTGTCACACAGCAAACTGGGAAGATTGTCAAGACGAAGCCAGAACTTCCTTCTGTCTTCCAGCCCATTGCTTCTCTCACCCAGCCAGCAGTGACTAAATATTCAGCTTCTTACTGAGCACCTACCATGAATTAAGCACTACTAAAAAAACTAGTGTCTAGGGGGCTGGAAGCTGGCTCAGTGGTAGAGTGCTTGCCTTGCATGTATGAGGCCCTGAGTTCGATTCCTCAGCACCACATAAGCAGAAAAAAGCCGGAAGTGGTGCTGTGGAACAAGTGGTAGGACGCTAGCCTTGAGCTGAAGAGCTGAGGGACAGTGCCCAGGCCCAGAGTTCAGGCCCCACGACTGACAAAAAACAAACAAAAAACTAGTGTCTAGTTCATTTTCTAAATGAAGAGGCAACAGGAAGAAACTAGAGTTGAGATTCTGTCTCCATCCTGAATTCAAAGTCTTAATATCGTGTGTGTGTGTGTGTGTGCGCGTGCATACATGTACTGGGGCTTGAGCTCAGGGCCTAGGCACTGTTTCTTAGATTTTCAACTCAAGGCTCACACTCTACCACTTCTGGCTTGTTTTGTTTTGTTTGGGTGAATAATTGGATAACAAGAGTCTCACAGACTTTCCTGCCCAGGATGGGCTGAGAATCTCCATCCTCAGCTCTCAGTCTCCTTTTAATATCCTATGACTCCCCCTAGCCTTGAATAGGCTAAGTAGAGTTTGCCAAGGTTCTCTCTTTTTTATCATTATCATTAAGTAGTTGTCCAGAGGTGATGCCATTTAACAAAGCAGTTTATGAGTACAGTGCATCTCCACCAATGTCACCCCTCTCAACATTCTCACCCATCCCTCCCAACCCACCGCTTCCTCACTTCGCTGAATGTTGTAGCATATGCATTGCATTCCTGACTGCATTCTCCCCCTGCTTCTCTCCACTGGTCTACGCTTCTCCCCTTCATCCCACCACACCCCTTCACACAGTCAGAGTAAGTAAGAATCTTCAGCATTAACTTCTCTTCTCCATCTCTTCAGGTCAAGGTCAACAGTTCTCAGGAAACACAGCAGTCTTTGCTGCAGGAAAAGCTGCGGGAGCACCTGGTGGAAAAGGAGAAGCTGAATGAGGAGAAGCTAGAGCAGGAGGAGAAGCTGAAAACCAAGATCCGGTTTCTGAAGGAAGAGAAGGCAGTAAGACAGCCTCTGTCACTTCCTGCTCTACTGGACCTTCCCAAAGGGCGTGGGGTGCTGAGGGCCTGGGCTGGAGACAGGGAGGGAGCTCAGCAGCTCCCAGTCAGTGCTGTGGCTTTTCACCAGTTCAAGAGAATGAATAATTTGAGAAGGTTGTGTGTGAATCTTAAATGGGAAAACTCACAGCAAATGCCGGGCATCACTGGCTCATGCCTGTGATCCTCACTACTCAGGAAGCTGAGCTCTGAGGATCATAGTTCAAAGCCAGGCCTGGTAGGAAATTCTGGGAGACTGTTATCTCCAGCTAACCACCCAAAAGCCAGAAATGGAGATGTGGCTCAAGGGGTAGAGCACCAGCCTTGAGCGAAAAGCTAACAGATCACACCCAGGCCCTGAGTTCAAGCCCTAGGACAGGTTGCCAAGCCTGCTTTAGAACTCGGGCTTGAGCATTAAGTGGGCTTGTGCAACTTCTCCCCAGTTGGGCATTAAAGCTGTGACTCCTGACCTGCTAAGTGGGGCAGAGGGCTGTCACTGTGAGAAAGCTCCACATTCATTAGGCTCAGTGCGGGAGGGCCAGTGCCATCCCCATGGTAAAGCTAGAGAAACAGGCTCTGTCCTTAGAGCCTTGCTTATCGGGTTCTTCAGCCAGGAAGGATCCAAGGCCCCTGCCACTTGCTCCAAACCCCTGGACATGAGCAGTCCCGGG